TATGAACTCTAAATTAATTTTATATATAATATTTACATAAATAAGAATAAAAATTATCAACTTAAAATAAATTATATTTTGATATATATATATATATATATATATATATATATATTCTCCAAAGTATAAATTACTTTCATTTCTATAATATATAAAATATATATATATATATATATATATATATATATTTAACTATTTAAAAAAGTAATCGATTATTTCAAAAAGTAATTGATTAGTTTCTTCATACTTAGTTTTTTGAATAGTTAAAAAAAAAATATATATATATATATATATATATATATATATATATATATATATATATTATAGAAATGAAAATAAGTTATACTTGGAAAATAAATATATATATATATATATATATTAAAATATAATTTATTTTTAAGTTGATAATTTTTATTTTTATTTATGTAAATTTTATATATAAAATTAATTTAGAGTTCATATATGTAATTTTAATTTATGTAATATATATATATATATATATATATATATAATTTATATAATATATATAATTTATTTAACATTAAAAATAGTTATATTTTTATTAATTTTATAATCATAATTTTTAAGGTTATAATTTTAAATATAATTTTTTAACTTTATATTTATAATTTATATAATATATATAATTTAAAAATAATTATTTTTTTTAATTTTAAGTTGCTATATTTTTTTATTTATAATTATTTAATATATATTTGAAAAATCAATTCATTATTTAACTTTATATTTTTAATATATATTTTTTTATAATTTTTAATATATATTTCTCATTAGCGATCGATTTTAATTCGGTCACTATTTCAATTTGTGATTCGATCGCTAAATCAGTTGTTAAATGATTTTTTTATTTTAGTATGGAATAGCCATCGATTTAGCGATCGAAATTTTGCGACGCAAACTATTGGTCGCTATTTCGGTCGCTAAATAAAAAAGCGAAACCAAATCATATTTTGGTGGCTAAATCGGTCGCTAAATTGCGACTGAATTAACTCGGTCGCTAAATCGGTCGCTAATTGCGAGCGAAATTAAATCGGTCGCTAATTACGATCGAAAAAATTCGGTTGCTAATTTCGGTGGCTAAATGTGTTTTTTCTTGTAGTGTGAGTTGGTGGAATCTTGTGGTAAGTGTAGCTTGGCTGAGTCCAAATTGGCACGAAAAATGTTGAAGAACATATGGAAAGAATTGAACGTCTTGATTTGAAATTCAGCGACCAATATGTCCCAACGCAAAAAATTGTTCCAGACTTCGATAAGTTCAGCTTGAAGTCCAGGGGTGGTGGCTGGAGGTTTGGATGTGAGCCAAGGTGGTTCACGGATGTCTTCAGGGTTATAACTCATTTTTTAAAATGGAGCAAGAGTTTGATCAAAATTTGTACGTGATAATAAAAACTTAAGATAGGAATTATGAAAGGTAAGGTCTGGTTTATAGTGTTTAGGGTGACGGGTGGCTAATCGAATGTCTTCTAGAGGGTATGAAGGAATGAGGATCGATGTTACTGAAGGGCGAGGGAGTCACAACTCATTAACCATAATTGAATGAACCATAGTGGACCTAAGATGTTGTCGTCAGGTCGATTGGATCAAAAAGCATCAATCGCTTCACCAAAAGTAACATATATGTATGCAAGTAATATCTTGGTTAAACATATATTGGGAGTTCCTCGATGAAGCAAGAATGCAAAGTTATAGTAATGGGAGGATATTTGGATAGAATGGGGGCAGAAGACATGTGTACATAGCCAGTGGACAAGGAAGGCAAAATGTTCTTCATCAGAAACCTCAACTGAAGGGTTATCGATAAAATATTCTTGCAGGAAATCGTTGTATGTTTTCTTATTCCATCAAATTTTTTATTCAATAATTTTATTTACTGGGAAAACATTAAGATAGTATTTTTCTCCAACGGGTTTGAGACCCATTATTACGGATACATCAAGTAGGGTGGGAGAAATAGGGTCACATGGGAGTTCAATAGCGTTGAGGCTTTTGTTCCAGAGTTGGACCGCTGGGAGAAACATTGACATGTCCAAGAAGCCGATATCAGAGTGGAAGAGGTAAAGAAGGTCATAAATACCAATTTTTCTCCAATGATGTTTGAAACTGGCTTTGACTCAGTTGATCCACTTAATATAGGAGGGTTTCTTTTGGGGTGGACTAGAACAATAGACTTTGGATGCTTGAGGAAGAAAGCCTGCTTTGAATTTTTCAGAGTCGTGTTGCTGAAGAATGGAGTTATCGTCGATGGATGTAAGAAAATCTTGAAGATGTTCGGAGTTTTGGATCAACAGTCCTTAAAAAGCAAGTGAGACATAACCAACAAAGTAGGGAATTAATTCTTGGGTGGAACAAATCTTTTGAGATTCTTCTGATGCACCAAAAACAGGTGCAAAAGTTTTTCTGTTTAGTTTCACCAACTGAGTAGTTATGGGTTGGATGGCGGTTTGGGAGATTGCATAGGATGAAGCCATTTGAAAATCAAGATATAAAGTAGCGTACAAGCATAGATATTGATTATATGAGAAAACAGATAAGGTTTTAAGAAATCAGTTTAGGAAGTGGGAAAATGAGTGAGAATGAGGAAGATGAATAGTTTGGTTGTTTTAAAATAAAAGATGTTTTCCAGGGAAATCTAGTGATGATGGGCTCGGTGTAAGCCCATATCCAATGACAGATGAAGGAGTGACAATACAGACAATCACATTTATTATAGGAATTTTTGCATTTATGAGGGGAATGAGAGCAATAATGAAAACATGAGATAAGAAAATAGTTTTTTGACAAAGTAAGGATAAAATATTTAAAGTTGGTATCGAAGATAAGAGAATAGATGTACTCGTCGAGGAGTCATAGAAGTATTCTCTTATGATGCATTTTGTTAAGTCTAAAAATTACAAAAAGATTGAGAGAATAGATCGAGCTAGATTGGGCATCGAATGGTTGGAAAGAGTAAAGACAGAAATTGAGAATGACGTATCGAGGTAGAAGAGTAATTAGGATTGAGTTTTTTGAGAAAAAACTAAATATCGACAAATTGAGAATTAATGAATTAAAAGAGAAAAACATCAAAAAAATTAAGAATCGAAGATTTAAATAGTGGACATGGATATATTGAGAGGAAGTTATAGGAAAAAAATTGTCAGTAGTGCATCAAAAAATTGATGAAGGCGATTAAGAAACAAGTTCTGTATAATGTGCAAGTTGCAAGTGAACGTGTATCAACAACGTGAAACGAGTTGCAAGAGAATAAGCTGTTTAAAATATTTTAATTTATAATTTTTATTTTTTATTATTTTCATGGTTGCTTTAGCGGTTACAAAAAAAAACAATATATTTAGGATAAAATAAAGGTAATGGGGTGATTGTCAAATTGTACAACTTAGATTCTAAAAAACACTACGAACTAGGAACAAATATTTTCAATTGAATTTTTTTTAATTTGGACCGACTTATTTTCTCTATCAATTTCTATTTTATCCTTGGTAATTAGTTACAATTACCTACACATTTATTTTGTCAGTAATTTATTTTTACAAATCTTTTATCATTCTTATAAATTATCTTAAATGCTTCAAATTATATTAAATATAAAAATTAAATACGAATAATCTTTTATTGAAATCTAATTTATCGTAAATTTGGAGTAAAATTAGAGGAACCTACTTAATATTTAAATAATTTAACAAATAAATTATATTATTTACAAGGAACAATAAACAAATGAAGAATCATAAACATTAAAATCATACATAAACACCTTGAATTCATACAACTCTCAATCAAATAAGAAAAAAAAACACTAAACATACAATACTAAAAAGTAGCCAATGCGTTGGATAGGACAAAATACATCTTGATAGGAAAAGTCAAAAAGATAGAAAAATTTGTTTAAAAGAAAAAGTGAAAGGTGAATATAGTCTTTTGATCATTTCTGATTCAACATGAACTAAAAATTCATCTAAAAACAGTATGATTTATTTACCAACCTCTTAGTAACCAAATAAATGAATAAAAAAATTAATTTAATATTTCTAAAATAATTCTTATAACTTAATGATTATTATATTAATTTTTTTTATTATACAATTTTTTATATTTTATAAATTACATGGATCAATATTAAATTAAAATAATAAAAAAATGAGTTTATTAGAAATAAAATAAAATAAAGCTCATTTAAATATCTAATATTGCATGATTTTCAATCATGTGCAAGCGAGAGAAAAACATAAAATCACATTAGAAATAACGGAATATAATTAACGTTACTAAATAAAATCGTATTACTTAAATGGTGAAATCAAAATAAGTTTATTCCGTATCGTAGTTATTATTAAAATCTTTATACAATATAATAAATTTTGATATTCATGACAAATAATTAATAATTAAACACAGACAAAAATGAATGATTATCTTTGGTGTAGAATGATGAACTTTGGGACTAAAAGATATGATCACATACATGTTATTTAAACTATCTACCATTACGTTGACCTCAATTGTTAATGATTACGTCCCATTTTATTTTTTTTCTTGAACAAGAAACAAATTCACGAAGAACGTCTACAATAATTCCACGCTGACGTAGACCGGATTTTACTAAAACAAAGAAAGAGACTGTTTGGGGCAGAAACTACAAGTAATAGACAGAACATGGTAGCAGAAGAAGCCTTGTTTCATGAGGTATCAAACATGATTTATAGTACACGTGGCACACAGAAAAACGCACCCTCGTCATCTGCGGGGGAAACTTGGGAAATTTTTTTAATGAAAAAAGAAGGAAGAAATTGCGGAGATCCAAATCTGAGCTTCTCATTGTTTGGTATAACATTGTGTTATATTATTCATGGACTGAGTCACAAATTAAATAATGAATCAATAGATCAATTTAAATAAGTAGTAGTGTTTTGGGGATTTGAAAGGTTGTTTGTTGCCCCAGGAATTCATAGAGAGCGAGGTATATCAATCTCTGTGAAACAATGGGGACGACGAAGAGCAATTCCACCTCAAAATCTGACATTGATGTCCACGACGAAAACGACAACGACGTCAACAACACCTCTCTGGTGTTGAATGTCTACGACCTCACCCCTCTCAACAATTATTTGTATTGGTTCGGGTTTGGAATCTTTCATTCTGGCATTGAAGGTTTCATTCTTTCCTTCTCTCAATCGTAACGTTTGTTCTTTCTCTTTCTATTTTCCATTCCATAGCGTTAATATTATTTCTCCCTTCTCCATTTTCCTCATACCGAAGGATGTATTGTGTTTCTTTTTCTTCTTCTTCTTATTATTATCATAAGATGCTTCTTCCTGCCAACTTCCTACACAATGTCCAACAGTGTTTTGAACATGAATATCTGCAAAAAGAAAGATACATTTCAGAATCAAAACGAAAAATTTATTGTATACATTTTTTTATTTTTTATTCTTGGAATAGAATAGCCACATTGCGTTGTGATAGAATCTACGACTAGTTGTCTTCCAGACAGGGAAAGGGGAACTTGCCAAAAATTTCATTTAACGCAGGTAACAAATATATGTGATTTGTGTGTATCAACTAGTACAATGTTGTAGTCATCCCATCTAAGAAATATGTTCAGAAAAATGAAATTCAAAAAAATTGATATGAGTCTGGGTAAAAGGTGACGTTTGATGATACATACAACATGTCATTATTTATAAAGAGAGAGAAGAGAATATGACATTATTTTTATATTTAAATTCGAAGAACAAGTTTTCACTATTTTTACCTTTAGAATTATGGAATTAACTCATCTTCTAAATCTTCGTGTCATTTAGATAACAATGTCATTCAATAAGATTAGAAAAATAACTACTAAGCAACTCAAAATGCACTAACCACCTAAGTATTTGTAGCTAATGAAAGCCATCAGAGTGTATTTATATTGAAGCGAAAGTGAAGAGATAGAGATAACTATCAAACAGTTTATATTGAAACAAATAGTTTATGTGATTTTATGCTCGGGGATATGAAACATATTTTTACTTGATAAAAGTTAGGTTAGGAAAATTGGGTTAAGTGATGTGAATAGGTAGACTTTAGAAAGACATGGATAAATTCATTGATTGATAATTAAGGTTAATGTAGAATTAACATGGATATAGAATATATAAGGTTGGTTCATGGTTTGTTGAATAACATTAGTTGTCTGGAAAAGGTGACTAGTTGAGGTATTTCTCTTAATTGCTTACATTTCAAATGATAATGCCTATTTATTATCATATATTATGTCTGTGTGTAAGTCGATTTCTAATATTTAATTTATTTACTATAATAGTTACAAAATATCCTTCTTGTCTTGCATAATAGATAATTCTAGTTATTTTAAATAGTATATAAAGAAATTTGTTTGTCACTAGTATTTTGAATCAAATTCTAATGTTCCTATATAAAATGTGATAACTCTAAACATTCTTCTTCAAAATTTTCAATTTTTTTTATAGGTAGTGCTTTTGTCAATAAGTTTAAAATTTTATTTGTGACAGAATAGTGAAGTTGAATTAGTTTAAATTTTTTAAGCCTATAATTAAATGATATTTTATAATTATATGTTTTTTTATTTGATGTTGAAATTGATTCTTTCACATTGTTATAGTTAAGATAGAAAATAATAAAGCAAATCTTGTTGTTCATTAATATCATATATTATTATTTTAAGATATATGGTTACACTTATAATTTTTAACTCTGTTTACTATTACTTGCTTTTTATATATTGAGAAGAAAATCTTTATCCTACTAAAAAATATAATGATATACTTTTTGTATTATTTATCGATTTCGTGCAATCATTATGGGTCTAGTCTATAAACCTTAAGTTTGTCATTGTTTTGTGCCACAAGTTTCTTAAAATTATTTTTGTTGCCCCAAATTAAATTCAACTTCTATGAACCTAAATAGAATAATTGTAACATATTTGATATTTGTTAATGTAACTATAAGCTTCCAATTAACTTTTATAAGATGATGTGTTACAATCTATCCTCTTTTTCTAGCTTTTCATTGTCACAAATGGACCATACATCATGAATTTATTTATTAATGTCTCAATATATTTCTTTTGACACATACATATTTCTTCATTTAATTGTCATAATTCAACATTAAAGAAGTAATTTATCATTCCAAAGTCGATCATTTTAAATGTCTACGATGTCTTTAAAATTCCTTTATCATTTTTATATAATTATTTTATTTTTTGTTTATACTTATCTTGAATCTTAATGTATAACATTAACTCACCTTTACTTCTTCTAAATCCTTGATTGATAAAGTATTAAGCAATTCTACTTTACTATGCTTAAGGAGTTTGTTTCAAGTTATAAAAAACTCTTTTTTAGTTTAACTTTTTATTTCATTTCCTTTGTTTCTTGAAGTCTTGTTATTGCTCCACTCATATATATTTTTCACGTACATCTTTAGAAAGATTGATTTAACATCTAACTAATAAATGTTTAATATTTTTCATGTTGGAAGAGCTATTAAAGATTTGAGGCATATGTCTAGCCAAATCAAACCATTGAGATAATTGTCTCCTTGTTGTCAATTTTAAGTTATTGTGAATAATATTTAACTATCAACCTAGTCTTGTAATTTTGTATAATATTCTCAATGTTAACTTTAATAAATAAAAAATTTGTGCAAGCAATCTACAAGTTTCAATGTAATCACCTCCTCCATTGTCATGATGTTCACTTCTTAGCTTATTCGTAACATTTAGGTCCAAGCATTGTCATATTACATGTTTCATACATTTTCACCAAGGATCTTATATTCATCTTAGAATAGGCTCAAGTGAAAAATCTTATTATTATACATAGGAAAGAAGCATATCATATCTTCTACCACTTCTTGAACTTTTCTTGATATTGTTATATTAGAATGAAGATATTGTTTTTCAAAATTTTCCCCTCTTCCCAATTTTAAGAAATATTTCATCAACTTCAATATCTTTACTAATGATAAACATCTTTATCTACAAGTTGTAAATGATATAGCCTTTTGATTGTGTAATATATCTTTAAGAAAATTTCTCATATAGTCCGATCTTATAATCGATTTCCTTTCTTGTCAAGAACATGTATTTAGTAGATGAGTACAAAAACTCTTAAGTATTTCACTTATGATTTTTGTCTATTCCAAACTTCTCCTTTACTATCTTGATTGTACATAGTAGTAAAAATAGATTCTACCATAAATATTGGATAAACATTTATCATTTTGCATTCATCTCCCTGAATGTTAAATTCTTCCTTTCTTAAATACCATTAAGATATGGTGATGAATATACTATTATAAGTTGTCCCTCTTTCATGTGCACATAATTAATTAAACTTGTGTTAGTCATATTATTTTCCTTAATCACTTTTTAGAGCTATCATATGTCTCCAACTTTGTTTCTTATGAGAGTTGTAAACTTTTTAGATATTATAAATACTTGTGATTTTTATTTAATGAAATAAATATAGGTCATTTTAAAAAATTCATAATTGAAAAAGACAAGATACATGAACTCTCATTACAATATTAATATATAGTATATTTAAATAAGAAAACTTATATTTATTTTTTCTATTTTAACTTCACCTATCTTATGTTTTTTATATAGATTATACATGTATTTCCTTTAAAGGAAAGAGTGTAACATTTCTCCATTATTTAGTCAATGTTTAAGAGATTTCTTAAATATTAAGAATCATATATATTTTTAGGAGTTTTGCACCTTTCCTTGTCACATCCATAAATATGTCTTTTGACTTCACCAAAGTATTGTTTCTCAACCAAACTTTGACTTGACAAAGTCATTCATGAGGACACTCTTTCCTAGATCCTTGTTTCATCATACGAATCTTATAGCTAAGAAAAAAAAAGAATATATTGCTAGAGGTTAAGTTGTTCAATGAAATTTGTTTGGTTTTTATTTTTGTTGTGATAATTCTTCTTGTTCAAATTTCTTTTATCACTAACACTAAAATTTTTTGTGATGACAATAATTTTTCTGCAAGTGATTTAAGTCTCATGAGATGACATATGAAGAATATTTATCTTGATTAGAGCTAGGAAAACCTCTAGAATTTTTTATTTTATTATTACTTATAGAAATTACTTCCTTATTTTTCTTCATTTCATTTCTTTTACTCCGTAATTTGAATTTTGAATGAAATAAAATATCTTATAAAGTCTTCATTGTATTTATAAATATTTTCTCATATGCTTTAAAATAACCTATTAATTTTTCATCCATAAAGTAAAGAAATCCAATAGTGGCAATTACATTATCATGAGAATAATAATCTTTTTGACAATTTTATTTTTAAGAACATTTTTCTTGCATGCTTCCATTTGACTTATCATTTCTTTTATTTTAGATTTATAATCTTTATTGGTTTCAAACTCCTTATTTTCCATCCGAAATTCATGTTTAAGAATTTAAAATTTAATGGCATGTAATTTTAAATTTCTTTCTCTAATGTGCTACAAACCTTTATGACACTTATGATTTCCATTATTTTTTTAAAATTTGCATTAATTATTTTTTATTGTAGAAAATATAATATTTTTTCAATTTTTTTTATTCTCCTTTTAACTCATTTTTTGAGAAGAAGGAAGATTTATATTAACAATAGGTTAAGAAATTTTTGAAAATGATATAAAATATAGTAAGAATTTTCTTAAAGACAATGAAGCTCTAATGCCACGGTTAAAGGTTAGGAAATTAGGAAAAAAAAATTAGGGTTAACTGATGTGAATAGGTAGATTTTAGAAAGAAATTAATTACTTGATTGGTTGGAACTGACTTAAATACATGATATAAGTTGGTAAGTCAGTCTCTAATATTTTATTTATTTATTACCTTTGAGTAGTTACAAGTATCCTTCTTCTTTACATAATAGATCATTGTAGTAATTTTATATACTATAAAAAAATATTACTAAAATCTAAAATTTTATTATCATTTTATGTTTCTTATAATATTTATATTCCACACTTTCTTATACTCATATTTTATATGGGTGATGGTTTATCTATGCTCTTCTAAACATATACCTAAACATTTTCCATTTTATATTATTGAATGTATAATGATTGTTCCACAACTTAAATCATCATCAAATAATCCAAAATAACAGTACATAAGTTCTTTTATATTATCATTCATGTTTCTTGTAATGTCTATATTCCACGTTTTCTTATGTTCATATTATTGTTGCAGTCATTTTAACGGAGGATGATTGTTTGAAAATTCAAATAATTAATAGAGAATCTAAAATAATCATTGTTGTATTTGAATTCATTTTATCAGTCTTAATTTGAGGAAGTTTCTATCTCTCTTTGAATAGTACACGGTAAAGAATATGGATTTGGAGCTCATGACTTCCCAGCAAGTGGAGTATTTGAAGTGGAGCCAAAGAAGTGCCCTGGATTTATATACAGATGTTCTCTTACTTTAGGCCAAGTAAACATGCATCCTTCTGAGTTTCGAACTTTCATTGAGAATATTGCCAATGAGTATCATGGGGATACCTACCACCTCATATCCAAGAACTGCAATCATTTTACGGATGACATTTCAAATAGATTGAGTGGAAAACGAATCCCTGGTTGGGTGAATCGTCTTGCTAGACTAGGTAAGACCACAGAACAAAATTTATACTACACAATTTTTTTAGTTCATTTATCTTTGAGAATCTGATATTTAACTAAGTCTAACAAAAATCACACTCTTTCTATTGTAATTACTGGTGTGTGTGCATATCCATCCATTTTAATGGCAGAAAGTTGCTCTTTAAAATTTCAAACTATATTGGTTGCTTTCATTTTTTAATTTCGTGGTGTGAGAACAATATCATTTGCAGATAAAGTTTTCTTAGTGAAAAAAATCAAATAAGAAAAGAATAGTATCATTTGTGTGATAAATCGATATCATTTCATCTCTCTCTTCGTTCTATACTTTTCATGGCACATTCTCTATATTCTTGTAGACTGCACGGGAGAATTTGTTATAGAAACACAATGAGATCCTAAGTGTAGGCTTTTGGTGAAAATTTAGGTTCACTCTGCAGTTGCCTACTTCCTGATTGTGTTGAAGTAACCACTGTTAAACAACTACCGGAATACCACGACTGTTCAGGTATGTATATTTTTACATATTCCTGTCTCAAAAATATTCTTCCACGATCCAAGTATATATTCGTAAGTCTCGTATCTTATCATATACATCTTCGTCTCTCAACCACGTGAATGACTTCTATATATAATAGTTATGACCCAAATTCTTGTAAACATAAACAAACAATAGTGGACCTAAAACAACACTATGTACATGAGATCATTATTTTGGGATGTTAAAGAATCATAATCCTTGTTGTTTTCTATTTTTCTGCGTGGAATCTTGATGGCAATGCATGCTGGGTTTTCCATCTTAGTGAGCACATGTAAACCTGTTGCACTGTTGATGTTTGTGACCATTTTCAGAAGATGAAATTACTGAGTCTCTGTCGTCTGCATCACCAAGTGCATCTCACTCAACGTCAGCACTCGAGGATGATCAAGAAAAGGTCCTTTTGTCACCTTTGGTCAGTAAAACAGATAACGTTTCTTTCGTGAAAGAGGCCCTAGTAAAATAATGTAACGTGTTTGTAGGGATGATTCGAGCCTAAAAAGTGCTCATTTTTCAAAGCCTTACTACATTCCTCAATTCATTTAGTGGCTTCACATTTGTGTCAGGGTTGATTCTAGAAATAGTGCCTGCACTGGTTTTCATGTACGAATGATTGTATATGGGGCCTAGTTGTTCACGGTTCAGGTTTGTATTTCTGGAGCGATGGTCTTAGCCAGGTAAATTATATCCAAGTTTCGAAATGAGTTATGGGTGATTCTTTATACCCAGCGATGATTGTTTATGGGGGAGTTCATAGTGTGTGAGAGGTTTTTCTTCTTTTGGAGACTGTTGGGACTTGTCGCCATGTAAATTTCATCTGCATTCTTAGAAATGAAATATTTTGACATGTTTAAATATTGTCTAAGGGCCTAGTTGTTCATAAACTAGGGTTTTTGTTTTGAAGGGATTCTTGGATCTCTTAACCATGTATGTCTGTCTACATGTGATTTATATCTATGTTTTGAATTCATTCTAATTAGTACCATCTCATTTATAGTCAATTTTTATCAGATCTTTTATCAAATTAATATTAATTGTTATGTGATTTTTTTTACTAATAATGACAAAATAATTATTAATAGCTATCTTTAAGAAACAGTTTCAAGACTTTGATTTTTTTTTCATTGTATGTTTTTAAAAACAGTTTTAAAGATTAATTTGGAAAAGTTATTTTTAAAAAAATAACTATATTTTTTAAACTATTTTAAGAAAAGAAAATGATATAAATGATTATAAAAAATTGTCATAAAAAAAAAACGATATTGAAGTCATGTTCAAGAAAGAAAAAAGTGAATGATAAATCATAAAATTGATTGGGAGATATTAGCACATGAAGATTTATATAACTTACATTTTGAAGATTAATTTGAAAAAAAAAAGAGATAACTTTTAAAAAATAACTATATTTTTTAAACTATTTTAAAAAATAAAATAATATAAATGATTATGAAAAATTGTAAGAAAAAAAAACAAAAACAAAACGTTCACCAAATAATAAGAATAAAAAAATATATAAAAATAAGATTATATGTTTAATTTGGAAAAGATGAAAAAGTGAATGATAAATTATAAAATTAATAAATGTTTTTATAAAAAAATATCAAGATAAATTCATATAACTTATACTACCATAATATTTACTTTAATAGAAACTTTTATTTAAAATTCAAACTTGTCTATTAGATTAAAAAATAATTTTGATAAATTTATGATAACGAAAATAAGTAATTTAATGTAATTATTAATTAATTATTAATAAAAATAAAAAATATAAATATAAAGCTTTTTATCAATTATAATTTTTTAAATTTTTAAAAATTAAAAAATAAATCAAATTTTAAAATTTGTTTTACCAAAATAATTATTTTTAATTTTTAAAACAAAAAAGAAAACCTAAAAACTATTTTTAAAAACTTATCAAACTATTTTTTTCTGTCTTGGTTTTCTTAAATTCTTATCGAAAACATAAATCTACTTACGCAACTATTGATCTTTCAATTTGTTTTTAATATTTTTTTACTATTAATTAGTAAACTACTATTTATGTATGTGTACATTTAAAAGAATTATACCACGCTCCAAAATATATTTACAACAAATTATTGACTATTACTATGTCAATTAAATTTTAAATATTTAGACAATAAAGGTGATACCAAAATATTGTAATTTAGTTATGAAAATCTTTTAAAGTATTTGAAAATATTTATGCAGTCAAAATATTTATAATTCAAATTATTTATCATAAAAATTTCATGATTTTAATATATTAACAAGTTTGGATTATCAAATGAAACATGTTGTTTTGTAAATTTAAGAGTATTACTTGTGATATTCATAAGTTGTATGCATGGATCTTGACTATTGATCTTCGAGGAGGCAAATAATATATTATTAATAAATAATAAATAAATATTAAATGAGGTAAGGAGATGAAAGGGTGAAAAGATAAAATTATAAATATATTAAATGATCATTAAGTTTGAGGGAACAAAATCATAAATTATATTATATGAGAGTTACAAAATTAAGGAGGCGATGTGAGGATAAAATTGTAAATATACAAGTAAATATATTAAATGTTCATTAAGTTTAGGGGGCCAAAATCATAAATTACATGGAAGTTACAAAACTTTGGGGGTCAAAGCCCCTCAACTCTTAAGAAGATCCGTGATTGGTATGTATCTTAAAAAGTTGAAATGATAGATAATTTATATTTTTCTAATAATTTATTAAGATATTTTTTAATTAATGATGAAACTTGTAACATCCTAATTCTCAATAGTTCTGGTTTGTTAAATTTTGACAAAATCTTTGTCAAAATTTTAATAATTAAATTATTAGGAATTGGAGAAAGTGACTATAGAATTTTATGTTTATTAGATTATTTGTGATTTTTTAAAAACTTTTTAGAATTTAATATAATAATAATAAATTAATTAACTTTTGACTTTTAAAACCACATTTCTTTTAGCAATTTCCCTTAGGTTTTCCCTTTCTCTCATTTCTCTCTTTCTCTCAAACCCTCCTCACTTTGAAGCTTAATTTTGAGGGGGAAATATTGATTTTCTTGAGAAATTCCAAGAGGTAAGTTTGTTTCTGTCAATCTTCTCTATGTTTCTACGGTTTTATTTTTTAAAACGGTGCATTTTCAATTTTTATCCTCACTTGGCTGAGCTTGAATGAAAGTAGGAAGAGTGTTATTGTAGGTTTTACACCTAAGACACTAGAATAATGCTTAGAATTGAGGATTAGAAGTGGTTAAGTTAAAAATCTTAAGAACCCTAATTCGTAGGTCACTGTTCACTGAATTATGGAACTTGTGTGAACAGAATTAGGAATTGGTGTTTTCATGAAAGTTGTAGCCCTTTAAGTTATCAAAATTTAGAAACTTGTTTGACATCAAACGGATATTTGTAGTTCAAGTTATGTCCATTTTATTGTCAACTGTTCTAGCTGTGACGTTAAGAGGTTGTCTTGTTTCAACAGCCTCGGTTTTTTAATTACTGGGATTGATACATGTGAAGTTAGGACTTTATTACTTCATAAAAGTTGTAGGAAATTATATTCCTGAAATTTATAAATTTGTTTCATGTCAATAGCTTATGTGTAGCATGAGTTATAGTCAAATTATCAAGGCATGTTCAGAGTGTTATTGTAGTTGAGCCATGTTGGAAACAACCACTGTAGACTGAAAAACTGCATTTATTCTATAGGGTATTTGAATTTATTTCCTTCATCAATATTTTAGGTAATTAAGTTATTAAAATTTTGGCTCAGACTTCATGTCAAAACAGCTTATATAACTCTAGAAAATTCTAAAATATTGAACCTTGTCCATATTTGTTATTAGGATTCTTCCTACTCTAAGTGTATTACTTTCATTACTCTCTTTCACTTGTATTACTTCCATTAGCATCAATTTAGGCCCTAGAAATGATTTTATAACTCAAAGAACCATGGTCTTGAATTTTAGAATTTTAGGCTATGAAGGAGGTGAGATTTTAGAGGTGCAAAGAGGAGACTCAAAGACTTGATAGATTATTTGATCAAGAGTTGTTCTTCACCAAGTTACAACATAAGTTAAGGGGTAGGATAATTTTTATAATTCACTTTTGCTTGAAATAGCATTGAGAATAAGTCTCTTTACTTCTAAGTTAATTAGAAATTTATTTGAAATTATTTGAATGTTATTTCTATTTTTGATGAATTTTTAAAGTTTTAAGATTATGTGAATTTTGTGGCTTCTAAATTGAGCAACTTGAGTGTATAGAACATTGTATGATTATAAGGCATCCATGAGTGTTGTTTGAATCGATTGCTTAATCATTAGTAATTTTATATGATTTATTGATGAATTTGGATTGAGAATTAGCTTATTTCTATGTTTAGTATTATGATAATTGTTTTAAATTGATTATTGAGATATATTGTATGTATGTTATGAAGCATGATAAGTAGAAAATTATTGTGGAGTGTTTTTTTTAAGATAGATTAGCATGTAGAATTACATTGTATAATTTGGTGGAACGGAGGAAAGGTGTGAGAAATGAACTATGTGAGAAAGAAAAATAATTTTTAAGATATATTAAATTGAATTTTATAATTTAATTATGAAGTGAATTTTTATATTTTATTTAATTAATAAATATTTTTCAAAAGTATTGGAATAATTTGATTTAGGAGAAAACAATTAATTGTAAGTGAAAATGAATTTTTAATAATTTTGAGGAATTTATTTGCAATTATTATTATTATTTAAGAAAAATAAATTAAAATTGAGAAAATTATGATTTTGAGTGATGATGAGTATGATGAGGTGGAAGGATGGTTTTGTGAAAAGTAGAAGTGTTCTGGATTGTTTCTAATTATTTTGCAGGTGTTAAAAAATTTTTGGAAATGTCCAATTTACAGGGGAGACTCTGATAGGTTTTTTTTTTTAAGAAATTGCCTAGTATTATTTTGAAAGAAGTTAAGATGTGATTTAAGTATAATGAGATAAAACAAAGTTGAAAGAGTGTGAAGAAGTTATGATAAGTCATGCATCATGTTCATGAGTCAGAGATTGAGTATATGAAGAAGATATGAAAAATCAGGGCCGGTTTCATGCTAACCTCGGGGATGATTAAGTGTGATCGAGTTCATATGTGGCTTAGGCTCGCTACCTAAGCTGCGAGACTCTCACTACCAAGATTGTTATCCTGACTAAAGTCTCAGGGTTTCTCATGATCAGTTGAGCTGGACAAGTGATTATAAGTATAGTACCGCGAGGCGGTGAGAGGTTCCAGTGAAACTCCTGATCCTTTTTGGGAAAAAAAAAGTGGTTTTGGGATCCCCATGGTCTTGCATACTAGGATGTGTCCTAGAAAATATTAGTGGATACATTGCATTCATAATATTATATCATTTGTATGTTGATTGCTAGTATATTTGTATGTGTAGTTTCTAATTAACTCAATGTTATTTGTATGCTCTAAGTGAATATAAAGTTGTCTTACCCTTTCTGTGCATGTATTGTTGTTATGAAATATTTGCATAGGTGACGTTAAACACAACTCATCCCCGGTATCATCTCCAAGTAAAGTTTAAATACGATCGCTGCAAGTACTAAGTAGAGGACTTGATCGGACACCACTATAGTGCTACAAGAGATACTTCATTTTAGTAGATATACGAAATATATCTCCTTTTTAGTTAGGTTGTATAGTTTGTCTGCTCTGGTCTTGTGAACCCTTGTTAGGTGTATTTTGAGATGATTTTGTGTATAATTTACTATCTGGTTATACTTGATACTTATGAATGATATGTATATTAATCACTAAGTGTATGTTCTATTTATTGTGTACCTTACTTCTACGAGTGTGTATTGATAATCATATACTAAGAGAACCAATAATAAGTAATAAATAATAATAAAGTGAATGTTGGTAGTAAAGGTGTCACAAAAATAATCCTATAAATAATTTATACACTACTACAAAATATATTTTCAACGTCGCCATTTAACGTCGGTTAAAGCTGAGCCGACGTTAAATACACTTTCAACGTCGGTTGGTTAAAAAACGACGTTGAAAGTGGAATGTTGGACACATTCTACGTCGGTTCTTAGTCAACCGACGTAGAAAGCACTTTCAACGTCGGTTCTTAGTCAACCGACGTAGAAAGCACTTTCAACGTCGGTTCATCTGGGAACCGACGTTGAAAGTCTTTTAATTTAGACATTCAACGTCGGTTCCCAGATGAACCGACGTTGAAAGTCTTTTAATTTAGACATTCAACGTCGGTTCCCAGATGAACCGACGTTGAATGTGTTTTTACCCAAAAATTCTCTTAATTTCAAGAATTGTCACTGATAGGATTTGAACCCGATATTTTAGAGTTGAAAGTTGATACTTCAACCACTAAACTACTCGTAATTTTCTCGATAATAACTTACAAATTAACTATATTTATATACAAATAAATATATATCCGTGTAAATATATATTTATTTATATATATTTTCCGGAAAGTGTTTTTATTTTTTTCACTAAAAATTTACTTAAGTTCGAGAATTGTCACTGACGAGATTCGAACCCAGTATTTTAGAGTTAAAAGTTGATACTTCAACCACTAAACTACTGTAATTTTCCGATAATAACTTACAAATTAATTATATTTATATATAAATAAATATATATCCGTGTAAATATATATATTTTCTGGAAAGTGTTTTTATTTTTTTCAACCAAAAATTTACTTAAGTTAGAGAATTGTCACTAACGAGATTTTTGAACCCAGTATTTTAGAGTTGAAAATTGATACTTCAACCACTAAACTACTATAATTTTTTTATAATAATTTACAAATAAATTATATTTATATACATATAAATATATATTCGTGTAAATATATAAATATAGAATATATAAATACAAATATATTTATATATTTTGATATATTTATATATATATTTATATAGTTATATAGTTATATATTTATATGTTGGATGTGAAGGCGCGTTCGAGGGTGAAAGTGAGATTGACTCTCGCTTGAGTGAAAATACGTTAAAACTCACGGAAATTCACTCGTTCAAGCCTCGCTTGAGCGAAAATTGGTATTTTTCGCTTGAGCGAATGATGTGTTTCTCATATTTATTTTATATCATTAATAAATTATAAATATTATATTACGTCATTAAATTACAAACCCATATAAAGAGACTCGCTCACAAATTTGACATCAAATTTTGAAAACTCATTCGACACACTTTCACCTTCGAGCGTGCCCTCACATCCAACATATAAATATATAATTATATAAATATATCAAAATATATAAATATATTTGTATTTATATATTTATATATTTACACGGATATATATTTATTTGTATATAAATATAATTTATTTGTAAGTTATTATCAAAAAATTCGAGTAGTTTAGTGGTTGGAGTATCAGCCTCCAACACTAAGGTACTGGGTTCGAATCCTGTCAGTGACAAAAAATTAGTTTGGTAATGCTCTAAACTTTAAAATTTCTAGATAAATAGAGAGAGGGGAGAGGGGTTGGAAATAAATAAAAATTTTCAATTTGAAAGTCAGGACTTTCAACGTCGCCTGATACAACGTTGGTTCCGGAACTGTCGTTGAAGGCCTTCCGAACCGACGTGGAAAGCCTTATTTGTAGTAGTGATACTTTTCCATAGATAGAGAGGGATTAATTCAAGAAAAAAGATGAGTGAATTTATAGTCTTTATCTCATCTAGACATAACTTTTCCATTTTTAATATTTTTAATTTCTAATACAATATTATAATTATATTATTAGATAATTATAATATTTTAGTATTGCATGACCTTATCTCCATAGTAAGTGCAAGTTTGACTTCAAGATGAAAATAGTAAATATTAATTGCTGTATTATTTTAAAACTATATTAAAACTCATTTATAGTTAAAAAAAATAATTCAAATCCTTTCAGAGAAAAAAATAAAAAATTATATAAAAAAAATAAAAAATTATATTCTATATATAGACTATAATTTAATCTCTTAATCTTAAGAATAAAAATTTTAATTAGCGCAGCTTCTCTGTCAACTTTATTAAAAAAATAAAATCATACAACATTCCCACATCAAACATATTTTAAATTTATTATTATTTTACTAGAGATTTTGTTTAAAAAAAATGTCTTATAGTTTTTATTCATATATTTACTAAAGTAGCTAAAAAGAATTTATCGGTTAAGAAATTTAGTATGGTTAATATCTCCAACATTGATTTACGTAGTCTGTTATATGTTCATTAACATAACATTGTTATATATATATATATATATATATATATATATATATATATATATCATCATTTAACCTTTTAGATATATCACTTATATTTCTTTTATCATTATTACATACATAATATTGTGTTATTTTTACTAATGGAGTCTATTACATCAAATCAACTCTATAAGTGTTCTCAATCACTTTCTTAAAAACTACAAACATTATTGCCATATGTTTAATATATATATATATAACTTTGGGACAATAAAAAGTTTGTTCGAAGGGATCTAGACTAGATTAAAAAGTTCATGAGACATGGAAAAAAAAAAGTATAATGGATGTACCAAAAATATTGCCATTCAAGTGGTTCAAAGAGAAAGGATTTCAAAGCATTGAGAATGCTCTCAATTAACAGGGTTGCAAAAATTCCTTAACTAAAAGGTAAATTTCATCCTAAGTTGGTTAAAGTGCTCTACACAAACCTCAAAAGTCTATGAAAATGAACTTGTATGTAGGGTGAAAGGTGTTGACTTAGTAGTGACCTTAACATATAGAGAAGGTTGCCTAGTTGATAAAAAAAAAAGGGCATAGAGGTATGCCAAGGCAATATTGAATGAGGTAGGAGTTTCAACAAACTTCAATTCTAGTAGAGTTGTCCAAAGAATCCAGAAGAAAGAATAGACAGGTTCAAGGCGGATGACATGATGCTAGTAGAAGACATGATTCCAACATTCATCATTTCCTAGAAACTAAAGCTTATGAATTTGATGATGGCAAATGGAGAAGTTGCACAACAATATTATAGGATTAGATAAAATGTAAGTAATTAGTCTTTCACTCTTGTATGAAAGCATTTATCTAATAGATAGACTTTAGACTACACAACAAATTAACAAACTTCATAAAAATCACTTGAGTTAGTAATAATATAATCAACCTGAGAATTATTTTGTTAGAATAACTACATTATAAATATAATGGTTTCAAAGTTTGCTAACAATAAGATAAAAAATAATAATAATAATAATAATAATAATAATAATAATAATAATAATAAACAATAATTTTGTAAGAACATTTTACTAAATATAGTATTCCAAATTTATCTCTAACAAGAATTCCTGTTTTGTGTGATAATGTTCATGTATTAAACTTAAAAGTAAGTAGAAGGAATTAATTGGTATAACTACATAATTGGATATAACTCTATAGAGGGTAAATGAGTATAATTTTGTGTATTATGTTTTCATATTTTTAACATTCCTATTATATGTATTTCAAACCAACATTGATATATAATTTATCCTTTCACGTATAATCTTTATTCAAAGAAAACTCAATAGTTATATACAACAAAGAAACTCTTCCCCTTAGCCAAAAAATAAAAATAAACCATAGTCACCAACTAAAGCCCTCCAAAGAAAATCAAGAAACATCTTTCCAACCAAGATCTTTGCAAGAAAACTCTAAAACCCTCTCTAATACAACATTTCTTCTTTCCAACCTCTTCTCCATACCTTCCGCAACAAAACCCATCCAAGAAACCACCCAAAACCCAATTCTGACTGAAAGACCTAACTAGAAATCAAGCCAACATATTATCACTATCTCCAAATCTACTCAAACCAATTTCACCCTACCTTGACCCAAACCTACCTTTCCACTCTATAAACAAAAGTATTTGAGTGGAATTTTCATAAGAGATACCATTTGAAAGTTGGTCCAGTTCTCCTTTTCCTAACAGAGTACTAATAAAGACAAGCCAAAACTTAGTGCTCCGATCCAATTTCATTTGCAATGCTTCAATTCGTTCTAGTTGAGCATATTCGAAGCAATGAACTTAAAGAAGATTTGAGCTTGGGCCAATTTTCTAAGAAAGCTAAAAGACAGGGGGTTGTCCAAGATCCGAACATCTGACCGAGCCGCAACCAAGTCAAGCCGAATTTCAGTTTACGACCAAGAGATTGCATGTCAAAAGACGATTCAATTCTTCTTCAACCAGAGGAACCATATCAAAACCTCTACCATTTTTGCCATTTTTATAGTGAACACGGCTAAAGTAAACTTAACAGATTTTGTATCAACCAAGAAAAATAAGTTACTGATGTGTAAAGATATGGATCATTAGCTGACACCTTGTCAAAATGACATAATAAAAAATATTATTTTTAAATAATTCAATAATCATGAGATACAATAAGATATATTCACACAAAAAAAAAATTTTAATTAAAAAAATGTAAAACCAGATGTGAATGAAATCCACATTTGTTCACAAACCAGTTCAAAAAACTCATTTGAAATAGTTTGGTAAAAAACCAGACTAGACTAAAAGACGATAGTTTTAAAAGCTAAACCATAGAATTTGTTTGGTTTTATACAAAACCAAACCAAGTACTCCCCTGTAATAATTCCCCACTTGGGAAGCCCACTCAAGGAAGATTAACGCATCATGCTGTATCACACGGTAAATATTATCCAACTAAACGAAAACCTTAATAGCATTGAAGATTCTTTTCAGCATAATATATTAGCACATTCCATCACCATAAGAGCCACCAAATTTTTGTTTCAATGACAGTACCTTGTTTCGAAGATGCTTTCATGCCCAAGTGTTTTACAAAATGGGTTGAGGATATATTATGCATGTGACCAACAGAAATCTAATCAAATCTGCAACAAAGTAAAATTACAATAAACCAAAAACGAAAAGAATTATTTCCCACATTTTGCTTCCTTTGCTGGCTATCTAAGCAGTATTCCCCTCAAGGCCCAATTTTGACGTTAGCCAAGCACAAACCTCGTCCATCTCTTCTGGAATTGTGTAGTGTCCAAGCCTGTTTACACGTAGAACCAAAGGAAAAGTCCGCACAAAATTAAAATATGCTACGGGATACAGAGGGTTTTATAAGAAGTAGGACAAGATCTATTACAGGGATTTTCGTTTATTACCCATTATAAGCTTTAAAAGTTACATCCTGAAAGCCAGTTGAACTTAAGCACTTCGAGGACTTCTCACCGAACTTATAGGGAACAACATCATCACCTGAGAATATAAATGCAAAGGTCATTCACTCCAAACACAGTTAAATTACCAATAGTCGTAATGTTGCCCAAATGAGCTTAAAATCGAACTACAGCACATTATAGAACAATTGTAACCGAACATATACATTACACAAAAAGGAACGTTTTGCAGCATTTTGCAAAAGCATGAATTTTGAATATCAAAGAACATAGCAAGCTTCTACAGAAGTGGACTATAAGTGTTTGTTCAAAATAATCTTATGTTGTGATTAGAAAAGCTTGTTATCAAAATACTTAGTCCAAATGCTGTTTCACGAAAAAACTAAGCAAAACCAAAATGCCAACTTTTTAGAAGCGAAGATTATATTTATCATGTATCTCATGCAACAGCCTAACCCTCAAGGTAAATGTAATAGAACTTGCATCGTTATTCTCACAATGCTGGTGCTATGTGTACATGTAGGTCAGAGACACGAGACCACCTAATCAATTTGGTCCAATTTGCCAGATACCAGCCCCATGAATACAAGAATGAATGAGAGGGAAGACATTCTTTGAACTCGGGTGCAGGACATGGATCTCTCCATTGGAACACTACAAGTGTCGCAAGCAGCATTTTGAGAGCATGCCTGAGATGAATGTAGCACGACAAGCTTTCCTTAGGGAGATTCAAAGACAGAACCCGCAACAAGTACGAAGAACCAGCCATATGTTGATGGCATAAGAAAGGAGGAGGAAATGTGAATGGAGAAAACCTTGGGCCAGTGACTGTTGACACAAAATTTCAATCTTGTGTCAAGAAGGTTGAGTTGTCATTGTTCAACAGTGAAGACCCCATAAGGTGGATCTGTTGCATGGAGACATATTTTAAGGTTCATAGCATGACAGACATGGTGAAGGTGAGGCTTGCTAAACTCTGCAAGGAGGGAAGTATGATCCACAGGTTCAACTTGTGGAAGGAATAAGAGGAGCCCATGTGAGAAAACCCCTGAAGCAAGCCCTAATTGTGAGGTTTAGGGTGAAAGGGTGAAGTTGACTAAACAAGAGAGTTTAGTGAAATCTTTCATCAAAAAGTTTGATGTTCTAACTTCTAGGCTTCTCGAGAGTCAATCCCTCCATTAATTTGTTGGGGGACTAAAGGAAGATATTTGGTCAAGGGCAGGACCCTTGCGCTGGCACTGCAGCAACATGCCACAAGACTAGAACATGGGATCAAAGCAGAAATGTGCAATTGAGCAGTTTCTATTGGCAGATATTCGAGTTTTCTTGGGTCTCAAAACGATTTTAAAGCTTTTTAGTAATTGGGATCTTCACAAACGGTAATCTCTTCAATTAATTCAACACCACCCGTACAAAACCTGACTTCTGCTTCTAGCTCATCTTTGATGACTTCGTCCAGACCTACCTGGACCGATGATATAAAGGGAACATAAAATAAAAAAATTCGGAATATTTCCATGATGAGATGCTTACAAGATGGAGGTTGGGGTTGTGCTTCAAGAATGGGGACAATTTAGGCCCAGGCATCAATGTCACAATAAAACCTTCTAATTGATGTTGTTTGGATGAAGAAGGGGTCAAGGGAAATTGCAGTCATGGAGGGTGACGCACTGGAGGATAGGAATGGGCCTAACTGGTGCTAGCCCTAATGGAGCAAAAACTATGAAGGTGAGTGGATCTCTGAATGGGGTTCAGTTAGTGATCCTCGTTGAAAGTGGGGCTAATGATAATTATGTTTCACCATTGATAGTCCCATTCACTAGGCCTTGAGCAAAACAGTGAGCTCACTTTTAGAGTAAAATTTGGTGATGGGCATGTATAGTGGACACAGGACCTTTCTTCTCAAATTTCCCTGCAATTTGGCGACACCACAATGACAATGGATGCCCACATGCTAGAGCTTGGGAGAATGGATGTTGTTTTGGAAGTATGTGATTGAAAACATTAGAGAAGGTAGAGATGGACTAGGGATACATGAGTATGAAATTTGCTTCGGGTGAAAAGGAGGTAGTGTTAAAAGGAAGCACTTTAGACAACATCAAAGGAAGGATGGACAGAGTGACGGGTCAGCACCATTGTACAGTTTGATCAATAAGGTAGAGCCTATGTTGTAAGGATTAAAATGGAAATCAGTGGATAAAAAGGATGGTGAAGGGTACCTGAATTGGAGCCAGTGCAGAAACTGGAATTGGAGGATTTACTTGATAAGTATGTAGAAATTTACATCAAGCACGTGCTTATTTAAAATTATTGCCACAGCATTTCTATTCTTATATTATAAATTTAGTTAATTGTTAAGTTGAATTATATGTCGGATTTCATACAGTTGATTTATTTCTTAACACCTTTTCAATTTCATGCCAGTATCAAAATAAAACAATTTCTATAAAAAAAATATCATTGCATAATCGATTCTGTCAACAAAGTAATCAATTATGCAAGTCTTTTTTTAGTGCCCATTACACATAATTGATTATGTGGTTGAGCATAATCGTGTATGTCAACCACAAAGGATTATGCAAGCCTTTATTTTGTGGATTAGTCATAAGCAACTTGGCTTTCATCACCTTCCTCACCACTTCTATAAAGAAAATCTATCAAGGGGGCCCACAGTTCCTGCTACCCAAATTAGCTGCAATCAGCTGATCCAAGCCAACTCTTTCCACTCAAATCTGTGTCTATCGTTCCTCGACTACAGTAAATCAATCAATCCAAACAAAGTGTAAATGTGGGTGGGTGGCGGAATACTAGCACATTTAAGTACGGAGTTTCTTACTTTCTTTGCCCCTAAATTTGATATGAGAAACTTCTGTTGCCACAGAATGGGCAGGCTCACTATTTGTTGGTTGCTGTGGTGTTTCAGATTATCTAGGGTTTCATGCTTTGCTTTTAAAATTTCCATTTTGGCAGATTTCTGATCGCCCCGCCCTTCTAACTGTAATTTAACATTTTTCTTTTCATAAAAAGTGTATCTTTTAATTTCAAATTTACCTTTTCCATGACACAGCAAAACAGGAAAGGATTGAGAACGCCTTGTAGCTTCATCTATCCCTTGTAACTTGTCACTCAAGGTCCTATACAAAAACAGAAATATAACAATTTCATTATGTAAAATAGAAAGCAGAGGGAAAGAGGGGAGGCGTGGCGCAGTTGAATCAAACTAAAAAATAATAGTGTTAGACGACCAAACTTTGAGCATGGAAGCCAGCCACTTAAACCAACAGCTGCACTTAGGTTGGCAGGATAAGCATTCCCATTCCCATATTTTCCAGCAGTAAAGCAGGACACAGAGTACAGGGCAGTAGCTGCTCCCATGCTGAACCCTCCAACACCAAGCTTAACTGTCATGTAATATCAGACTAGAAATTATTATAACTCAATAAAAAAAATTTCCTGTGATTGAAATAAAGAATTATACAGCCAAGAAACATAAAAACTAGTATGCAGAATTAGTTAAAAATTCCCTTCCTTTAACAGCATCCTAAATTGAGCATTTACACTTTCAACCATGGAAAATCTAGTAACTTCTGAGAAATTTATGATGTAATAACAAATAAATTTTACCAATACTCACTGATAAATACTGGTTCACAACATAGAGAGTAACAGAATAAAAGAAAGAAATTTATTTGGCATCTGTCATTTATTGAAGAGCTTGGTCTCTTCCACAAAACACTAATTGAACAACTTATTTTAGTCATTTACTTACATTCTTTTCCCCTATTTATATCCTTCTTCTGCTAGTGACGTTAAGGAGCTGACTAGCCATCTCAAACAACTAAACAAAGTGATAAGGAGGGAAGTATGACTTGTGAGGAGATGAATTGAGATGAGACCAACAGAAGAAGGCAGGCAAGGGCAAAGATTGTCTAGCCCATATGTTACAGGGACTAAGGCTACTCAGAATAATAATTTTCAGTTTATTATTTAGATTCCTTAGTTTGTTATGGAGACTTGCCAAGTTGCCACCTAGACATTCTGTTTTGCATTCTGTTATCTCATTTTGTAACTGATATAGTAATTCACTACTATATAAATCATAAATAGTAATGAATAAAGAGAAAAGAAAATTATCAGCTTATTGTTTTCTTTTTGGAGGCGTAATCAAAGGAATTCAGAGTGCTCATGTCAATTTGGTGCTTTCATTGTTTATGGCTGACAATACACATTCCAAATCTATTGACCATTAGCAGGAGACAGTGAAACTCCACACCCAGAACTACCAAACTAACCTCTCCACTAAGGTTGATTTATACTCACCCAATTACCATCCCTATTCCTCTCCTAAACTTAATTTCCCTACTTCCACCCAACACCAGTTTCCTCGGATGAAACTTAATGTACCCTGTTTCGATGGCACTGCCACCATGGCGTTGATTTTTGAAACATTTCAGTATTTTCACTACCTCGGTACCACTTACTCAGAACATCTCGTTATTGCGTCCTTTGATATGGATGGTCCAGGTCTTAGTTGGTACCAATGGATCTTCTATAATGGACTCATCCTTTCTAGGGAAAGGTTTTTGCAGGCTCTGGAGACAAGTTCTGCATTCTGTTATTGCATTTTTCAACTGATGTAGTAATTCATCTACTATATAGACCATTAATAATGAATAATGAGAGAAGAGAATTATCAGCTTTTTTGTTTCCTTTTTGGAGGAATCCTTGACCTCGAATCCAAGGAATTTTCTGTGCTCATATCATATCATAGAGGCAGGCAATATTGGCTCTTTGGGTCATTCGTACTTCTTCAGAATACAATGCTAATTGGGGCATGTGGCTAACAACCACTTACATGTATTATTAAATGATAAGTAGAACACGTTGTAGATCTCAAAATAAGTTATGTGGATCAAATTTGTATATTTTTCCTGCACATTCAAAAACTGAATTTTACTGAGATGAGATCTCAAAGTCATCCAGCTCTACATTATCAATATGGGTGGTGGTATGAGGTTCAGAAGTTTACATTTGGTTATCAAATGTTCATTTAGAAAGTGGGCAAAACTCATTTCCTAAACAAGCTAACCAAATATGCATCTATTATACTAAAGTATGGAAAATGCTGTTACCCTTTTACTTACAATTATGTACTTGTTTCTATTTCTTTACAATTATGTACTTGTTTCTATTACTTCAACAAACCAAAGATCAGCCAAGATTGTGCTAGAGTTCAAGAACATAGCATGGACATAATCAATTTCTCATTAAAAATTAAAGGAAGATACAAGGAACATAAATAGAAAAGAAATATTGCAAGAGAAACCTACTGTCTGCAGGCTCCGTAGACAACAAATTTGCAACATGTGCAGCTGAAGCATCCAAACCTTCAAGATCATCAGGAGCATCTTCTGAAATGTCTCCAACATCAAACCCTAAGAGACAGAAAGTTATATATAAGAAATTTATCAAGACCAATTTAAGATTGTTACTAGACTTATAACCCATAGTGGTAGCTCTGTCGTATAATGCACGTCCATGGTGGTAACTTCTATGTTGCAGCACATAAGCCTGTTTATAATACATTAACTATAGAGGTTGATTGCCACAATAAAGGCTTACAAAACAATAAAACTTACAAGCAGTAGATGGAAAGCCACCAAAAATAGATATTGGCTGAGTAGGAGCAGTTGGGCATATCCATTTAATCTGCATCATATATTTAAACAATGAGATTTCCAATTACTATTAAGATGATCACACATATACCAAGAATATAAAACTAGGTATAAGCAATATGTGTTCCCCTATTAACAGTTAAAACTTCTGTGTGCTTACATTTGGAAGAGGAAGGGTCTCTAGTAGCTGGGACCAACTGCATAAGCAAAAAGCAGTAAATGAGTTTTGTTCTCCAATTTATAACATGTGATTCAAACAGTGGTAAAACATCAAATTAAGTTGACACTTTTATGTTAATCATGCTGTTTCCCTTGTTCGACACATGTTCCACTTTTATGGATCACCTTTCTGTGATAGGGCCCAGAATTTAGAAAATGAGAAGGGGCAGAGTCAGTTGCAAGAAAATCCTTGGACATGGAGAGTGTATTTGAGAAAGAATAGTTGGGCTCAGCATTGAATATACAAATGGAGAGAGAGAGAGAGAGAGAGAGAGAGAGAGAGACTTATAATTGTATTACTGAATATTAGAATGATTACAAAAAAGGATGCAAATTCTGTACCCAAGAAGTATATATAAAAGTAGAAGCTACAAATACATGAGGTAACAGCTGACAGTTATAACTGTCATGATAACTATTAGTACTTAAGCACAGTGGAGAGTCAAACAAAAAAGACCAGTCCACTGGGAGAACCTCAAAACTTAAGCACCAAATCAAGTAACTTTTGCTACTCAATGTGGGACTCCTAAGATTCTCATCACCTATAAGGGGGGCCAATCCAACATCGATGGTGGCTTCACACTCTCTCGACACTGACCCAATGGTAACCCTTTCCACTTAGATAGTTTTATTCGTCAATCAATATTCAGTTTCCAACCTATAGATAGCTCTTTCCTTAACCAACTCTCAATGAAAACACAAATTGTTAGGACTTAACTATAAGAGGAGAGAACCCAAAATACTAGACCATTATGTTAAAGAATCTCAAGACTTAAGTACCACATCAAGAAGCTCATCCTACTCAATATGGGACTCTAAGTAGTAACAGTTATAACTGTCATGATGACAGTTTTAATTACCTAAAGAAAGGACAACTGACAGCTAACTGATCTAAACAAAAAATTAAAGAGAATTGATATTCTCTTATATTCTCCTGCAGTTTGAACAGGATAAGGTAGAATTCTATTAGTATGTTGTTAGGAGTAAGAGAGGAATACTTATGTTGTGAAGTAGTTACATTACAGGGGGAAAGGATGAGTGAAGAAGCAGGAACGATTTTCAAATTTCTTGGGTGAGTGATTGAAATCATTCCTCTAAAGAGGAGATATTGGCAGTGGACAATTGTTAGTATCCATTTTTATCTGAATAATGTATTATTCCATTTCATTTACTGGGATTTCTGAGTAATTTTGTATATCTAATCTGGTATCATATCATTTTGCATTTGTTCAGAAAAACTGGAGCAATCTCAACTCCCAAGTTGGGATTTTAAATATTGAGATCCTCAAAAGCTTTCTCTATTTTAATCATTAAATAAACTAGGAGATTTTTAAGGACTAAACCAGAGATGGAAGTTATGCACTAAAAATAAAATCCCTGAATCCAAACTAAAGTGATTATGTACAGAAAAAAAAAAAAAAAAAAATCTAACGTAATATTGGCTTAGTTGGGTTTTATTGGCTTGTTTATATGTCTTTCTATAAAACAAGCCAGGTAAAATAGGCTTCCAGGCCAGGCTACGGCTTTAAAAAGGTCCATAATAGGTAAATAGGTCAAGCTTGGGCTTAGTAATAATGATATAGGTCTAGCTCAGGCCTCTCATGTTCTGACTTGTTTCCACCCCTACTTATCAGCTTTGACCAACAAAAATGAAGGAATGATGGTAGCGGTAACAGATATAAGCAGTAAAGAGGTAGCTCTGTTTTCCTTAACAAATTCCAATTCTGATCAAGACCTATGTTGCATGACTCAAGTAGATTTGGGAATGAAACTTTAACCTATAATTGTGCCTAATGCTTCAGAACCATCTTTAGCATCATCACCATCACTATATGAGAAATTAACTCATTTTTCCGCTCTACCCAAAAGCTTGAAAGCACACTATCTAAGTATGGAGGTATTGTAGCAAAACCAAAATGGCATTCAATCATTGTGGAATGCAATTCCCAACAACCCTCAAAGCAATTGGATGCATACTTGATATTATTGGATGGATGGGTAGTTGATGCATGCCAATTGTTTTGATGGTACAGTCTGGGTAGCAAATATGACACACTCATGCACCTTTAATAAGGATTCTACTATGGTGGTATACAGTCATTATTTTTGGCATAGGCTAAACAAAATTCACATCCAACACCTCAACAGCATCCACCATTCAAGATTTTTCCAATGCAGAAAGGAGGTGGGCTAACAGGTCTCGCATGCAACAAAGATGTACTGTAGCTAGAGAACTTGCAGAAGACACAATATTAGCTCTCTTGGATCATGTGTCATGTGGAAGCAGTGAGGGGCTTACTTTGTTAAGAATATTGAAGGTTTGATCTCGGTATTCTTTTAGCAATTTGCCCATATTTATACACCATGACAAGGTCGTTGTGAAGTGGGATGGAATTGTTATGAAGCTAGTCTAAGTGGATAAAGGATGCAAATCACTGTAATGGAACTACAGTAAGAGATTGATATTGTTTGCTGTGGCAATGTAACAGAATCCAAAATTGTAGGCTCTTGTGCATTAGTCAGGGGTTAGATGCAAAGCAGTATTCACTTTATATAAGTATATGTACTGCAAATATCCTTGAATGCGCGCGATGAATTAAGTCTTGATTTTCTCTCTATTTTATCATCTTTTCCTTCTCTTATTTTGGAGGTATCCTTACCTCAATGTAAGGTTTTACCAGTTTTCCTCAAAAGCTCCATGAAGAACATAACCGTTTGAGCTATTTTGACATGGGCATTTTAGGAACTTTAATTTTCCTTTTATTATATTTAATAGAAGATGTTTTAACAAAAAAATTGTTTCAACTTTATCTTACTACCTCCATTTTCTGAACAGGTCAACTTTTTTTCTTTTAGTAAAATGTTGCATGTCAAGTTCTTTTTTTAATGTTGAATTTTTGAAACACATAAAAATAGTACAAGGAAGCCTTTTTCACTTCTCCTTTGAACTTTCTCAACCTTCACTTCCAATTTTAAGATTAGATTTATATATTTTATTAAATGCAAATACATACAATCTACCAAGGTTGTCAAAATCAAGATTATGAGTGGGATCGTAGGGGGTCACAAATTCATAATTCGTGGGATCGTAATAAGGATTGTAGATCCTACTCTTATAACTAAAGTATATATTAACATAATGATAAAATAAATACCGAGTCACATTTCAAAATACACATTATAGTGCAATCTATTTTTTTCCATCCAATCTTGTGACCTTCCAAAACATGTCTTGTTGCCTTAACTTCTTCCTTCAAGTACTTAACTCTGATTTCATGGTATGAAGGTGGCTTAAATCCTGGACCATAATTTGAAATTGAATCAAACATCCTCTTAAATCCTTTGCCTCTTCCCACATTAAATGGCATGGCATTTTCATAGAAAATTTTAGTTACATCTTTACAAGTATTTTCTCTTTGATCCTTCTTGAACATTTGATTAATTGTTGCTTCTGAGTTTACTACTCTCTTCTTGAAAATATTTTTACAACTGTCAACATCTTCCTTTTCAATCATTTTTTTCTTTTTTTTAGTTTCGACATCATCTTCCTCAACATCTAAGTCTTGTTTTTTTAATTAATCTTTGTTGCAGATTTACAACAATCTGAAACATTTCTCTTTTTTACTTCTTCCATCACACTTTTGCAAGCCATTGCATCCTTCTGAGTTCCCACAAGTTATGATCTTTTTACAAAATTTGCATTGAATTTTTCTTAGATTCTTTCAATACATATTCCATGCTTCCAAGACAAGTCAGTTCTACTCTCCGGAGCATTCTTTTGCCACTTTCTTAAACCAAATATTTTATGAGGAGGGAGTGTTATCATTAACGGAACCATTAGAAGCCCCATTTACTAGTGGAAGACATTATAGTAATAAGAAAAAACTAAAGGTACTGCAAAAAATGAACTTGTCGCAGAAAATGAACATATTAAACAAACAACAAAAAATTGTTTGCGAAATAAAAATGTGTTTCCGCGATTGGTAAGAGAATTTAATTGCAAAAAAATTATTTGGTGTGGAATATTTATACAATGAATGAGAAAAGAAAACAAAGTTGACTCATGAAAAAATGAAACAAAGTTGATTGGAGGAGTATCAAACAAAAACAATACCACTTACTTGAAGAAATTACACGCGGAGACGATGATAGGTAGAAAACAGCAAGTACCACATGCAGAGTTGATGACAAAAAAAGAGAGCAAAGCACATGACACACATGAAATGAAAAGGTAGTTCTTTAATAGCTTTAAAGACAAGAAACATTACATATTTTACATGAGAAAGAATACGAACAGTTTTCTTTTTTCTTTTTTTCACTAATTTGAACGCGACCCGTGACGTAGCCACAACCCACGATGCAACCCGGACTGCAACCCTGATCGCAATTATACGTTTTTTCCGATCTTAGACAACGATTCCAATGATCCTACATTGTTTCAATCTCGTGTGGGAATGACACGATGATGAGGTGCGAAATTGTGGAATTGATTTTCCTCCTGATTTTGACTTCAGTGCAATCTACAATTGTCATAGTACTGATAATGATACCAAAGAAGATTTGAATTTCTATTTCTTATCTAGGATCAAGGAGACTAGGAAACTTGTTATATATATATATATAGACACACACACTAATGTACTTCCATGTTTTGCTCAAGACACTTTGGAGCACTTTAATCAAAATCAAGAGGAAAATCTTGGAATCATCCGATTTCACGATTTCGCACTCCATCACCATGTCAATTCCTACACGAGATTTGAACAGTGTAGGATTGTTGGAATCATCATCTAAGATCGGAAAAAACACATAATCAACTTTATTTTATTTTTTTGTTTGATTATTCTCTAATCAACTTTATTTTATTTTTTCATGACTCAACTTTTTCTTTTCTCTTGTATAAATATTTTGCACCAAATAAATTTTTTGTAAACAAATTCCCTTCTTACTAATCGCAACAACACATTTCTATTCAGCCAACAATTTTTTGTTTGTTTAATATGTTGATTTTTTGCAATACTTTATTTTTTGCATATTACTATAATGTTTTTCATTGGTGTTGGGACTTCTAATGGTCCCTATCATGATGACACTCCCTCTTCAAAGAATATTCGGTTTAAGAAAATGGCAACAGGCAATAGAACAAACTTGGCTTGGAGCATGGAATATGTATTGATGGAGATCCAAGAAAAATTCAATTCAGATTTTGTCAAAAGACGATAATTGGCGGGATTTATCACTTGAAGCACCACTTGGTAGGAACTCAAAAAGATGTAATTGCTTGCAAAAGTGTGACTGAAGAAGTAAAAAGAGAAATGCTTGAGATTATTGTAGGTCTGTAACAAAGATTAATTAAAAAAACAAGGTTTGATGTTGAGGAAGATGATGTTGAAACTCAAAAAAGAAAAAAAAGAAAAAAAAAAAAAGACTGAAGAGGAAGACATTGGCAGTGGAAAAAATATTTTCAAGAAGAGTGCAACAAGCTTCACAAGCAACAATTAATTAAATGTTCAAGAAGGATCAAAGAGATGTAGCTAAATTTTTCTATGAAAATGTCATACCATTTAATGTGGCAAGGAATGTTTGATTTAATTTCAAATTATGGTCCAAGATTTAAGCTAACTTCATATCATGATATTAGAGTTAATACTTGAAGAAGAAATTAAGGCAACAAGACATGTTTTGAAAGTTCACAAGACTACATGAAAGAAACAGGCTACACTATACTGTGTATTTTGAAATGTAACTTGGTATTTATTTTATCATTATATTAATATATATTCTATATTATATAAGAGTAGGATCTACAATCCGTGTTACGATCCCACAATTTTTTATTTTGTAGACCCCCTACAATCCCACTCATAATCTCAATTTTGACAACCTTGCTTTGGAGTATGAACACCTACGACGTTTTGTTGTTATACATTGGCCAATGTGAATAGAGTTGCTTACTGGCAGTTTTATAAGTAATTTTATATGATGCTGGTTCTTTCAAGAGAGTTGCTGACTTGCTATGATATAATTATGATTCTGTGAAACGATTTGTTGTTGCATATTCAATTCATCTAATGCACTATTATGTGAAGAGTCTCTGTTATATGTGACTATGTATAAATAGTTTATTTACAATATATAAACTATATTAAAAAAATAGAATAAAGACTGTCCTGGTATATACTATACTACTGTAGCATTATGCTACCCAGGATTTAAAACATTGCTACTTTTTTAACAGTTGTATAGAGCATTAAAATAACTTTTCAACCACACAAAACAAGGATAGAATATGAAATGATTTTACACAAGAGATATATTGGCGTATCACGTATCAAGGAAAAGATGACAAAAACAGTTAAGATAATAATGGATATGTACATTGAAGATCACTTGAAGCATCAGTCAAGAGTGTACAAGGAATGATTTTTAGACTCGTAAAATGGGGTAGAGGGAGACGAAGATGGAAGCTGAAGAAAATTATAAAAGAAATCTATGGTTTTACCTGAAAATTTGGCTTTAAACCGAGTTCAATGATGTATGATTCATACAACCTCATCCACAATGATGAAGCTGTTGTTGTTGTTGGATTATATATACAAGGGAAAACTTCGTTACATTTTGTTTTGAAGTATGAGCTGAATAGAGGAATTCAAAAGATGCTAATTGAATTTAAATATCCAACACTCTCTAACTAAGGTTCCACCCATTTACCTAGGCCAGAAATCTGTATGCAGCCACAGAAATTTTTAAAGTGTAAACATACATGTTAATAGCTTTTGTCTTAGATAAACCATAAATTTATTGCCAGAAAGCATAAGAAAAAATAATTCTTAGTCAAAAACAATTGAAAGGAGACAGAAGATAGATCAGACAGATGTGTGAGCCTAGTTGGTTTCTATTATGAAAATATTTGTTTTATTTTGGCTCCATAAACTTTAAAAAAAGAAAAGAAAATAGAAGCAAAAATTAAATCATCCAAAATAGGCTCCAGGGTCCAGACAATATTATCATCAGTAAAAAATATTTAATTACAATGACCAACCAAACTGTTACTTCATTGACATGATATGTCGTGTTAAAACATCAAAACAACTGAAAATTAAAAACAAATATCCCATTTTCCACACCATTATGTTAAAGTTGATTTGGAGCTTTTAGAAACTCATCCAAACAAGTTAAAGTAATAATGTAGTCTGAGCCATGTCAAGTAAATGATTTTTGTATGTGACGAAAAAGAGTGTAGTTTTATGCATGTCACAAGACTTAGACAAGCAACAGTTCTCCATGAAACAACTTATGACAATTTGAATTGAGTGAAGGGGGTTACAAATTTGGAAAAGGATTTGAACCGGTTAAAGTAGTTAAAAAGTAAAAAAGACAAGATTCATGACATATTCCTCCAATTCACAACTATCCTAGGCAACAATTGACAACAGCAATCATAAATAATAACTGAAAAAAGTAAAAGAGCAATGAAACATATCTCCCAACCACAAATGAATTTTCAGATATATATAAATATGGGATAGAGCAATAGGAAATGTCATGTCACCTGGAGCCATTATCCCCGAGGCCATGCAACCAAACTATAGTCGCTTGGTGTTTACCTTTAGGCCTGACAACGTAGGTTCTTCCAAATTCAACTGCTCTCCTAGCAGTTCTACCACCTAAGATAGAACCACAATAAAGAAAAAGGAATTATCACAGAAAGAAAACAAAATGGGATATCCATACTGCTCCCTATATCCGCAGAATTTAAACCCAGTAGTCCCATCTAAAGTCCCTAGATACTTCCCTTTAGAACTCCACATTCAATAAATTACACCCTGAAGTAGCAGCATACAACAAAGAAGATACTTACCAGCAGAACCAAGTGATGGCGCAGCAAAGCTCATATTAGCCTCTATAAAAGAACACCTAATGAGCAGTCCTAGGGCTGCAATAAACAAAAATTAAAAATTGGAAATCAATAAAAAAATAAAACTCAGTTATGTGGACCAGACCAGTATGATAACAGGTCCAGCGTAAATGAAGATCCAGACATCACATAAACATAAAAGATGTAACTATCAAAACATTTTGGAATTCTACAATTAAGTATCTTAGTATGAAGCATAATCTGTACTTCAAGCCTTCACAAGCATAAGAAATAACCGGAAAGGTGTAAACCGATATGCCAACAAAACATGTTGAGCCAAATACAAGACTGATTTACATTATCTAGCCCTCCAAAATGTAAAAATTACAATAGAGAGGAACATGAAAACATCACACTTAAAAAGCCAAATTATGTTTGCAAATATCCGAACTTAGGAGTTTTGTTCCATTTAAAATCATTGAAAAGAAAGGAACGAGACAGGACTTCATTCCCAAAACCAGTGAAATGAAACTCCATCAACACAAGAAATGCAGGCATTACAACGTTCCGGAAAACTGAAGTAGAGGAGGGTACCTGAACTTTTGGGTGGGTTGACTTTCTCAGTTCACTAGGATTGCTAAACATTTAAACCACACAAACAACATCGGAGAACTATTGTTCAATGCAGAAACCACAATGAGATAGAAAAAAAAAATGGTGATCAATTTGGTGCTTAAAATTTGTTGAAAGACGAAAGTCCGAAAAGTTCGAGAGAATTTATAATAAATCTCTCGTATTAGACGAAAAGAAACCATACCAATGCAAGTATCTACGTGTTTATCCCTTGACCTCAATGTCAGAACTAGGTTAATTTTGTTCAAACGAGGACCAAAACACATCAGAGAAACACCACAACATCCCCAAAAAAGAAGAAAACAAAATTGGACAGAAAATATCACTGAAGCTTATATTAACGATAATCATAGAAATAAATGAAATCAATAAATCCACATTTGACGACAATCAAATCATCAGCCACAATTCATAAGCAGAACACAGAAAACCAAAAAAAAAAAAAAAAACGAAACTCAAGCTATAAAATTAATTTTAAAATTAAAAGAAACACAAAAAGGACCATCAGATTGTAAGAAGTGATTATACTTCAAAAACAAAACAAAAAATGCAAGGACGAAGACTCATGTTCTAGAAACACAAACCTCCGTGGCTGTCGTGTAACTCCAAAGACCAAAAACTTGTCCGAAGCTTTGTGTAGAGAGAGCTCTTCGTGTCGTCCTCGTTTTTTAACTTTTTTTTTTTTTCGTTCTTCCTTATAAATTATAATTTCTGTATAAACTATAAAAAAATTTAAAACACACACCGCTTACTTTGAATTTTTCTAATGTATTTTGGATTAAATTAAATGTGGTCAAGTACTTGAAAGTGCACTCAACGATGCACAGAGGCCGTTCGATGTAAATCAGCATTGGATATGTTACAGCCACGTGTCGCTGACGAGGATCGGCAACAATAGCGTCGTTTGTCAGAGGACGCTGAACAATTCGATTGGTAGATCCGATCTCCCGTGGTGGTCCATACCTACGCTTTCTGCTTTGATTGGACTTTGACAGCAAAATATGGGTGAACAAAAGATTAGTGGAAAATATTTGATAAATTACCTCTTTTCATAAACAATTATTTCACACCTCTATTTGACAATATTATATTAATTTTTAATTATTTTTTATCTATTCTTAAATTATTATATTAATATATGAAATTTTCTATTGCATATTTTATTTTTAAAGGGTGTATACGTATCATCACAAAGATTATTTAATTTATTTATGTAATATTATTGTTTAATATGTTAAAAATATTATTATATTAAAAGAAATATTAGTAATTATTTTTATAAATATATAAGTTTATATTTCTTAAATTAAGATATAAAATTATGATAGAATTAAATTTAAATTTTAAAATAAATATATCAAACGATTTAAATTTCATGATAAATTAATAAAAGAAAAAACAAGAAGTATTGTTTAGGTGATAAAATTAGTAATTAGAAATGGACAAAATTATTTTCATGTTTGACTTTACTCAAACTTAAGAGTTAGAAAGGAGATTTACATTAAAGGAACACACTTTATTAAATGTTTTATATATAAAAAAAAAATTTAACATCCCTAAATATATATTCAATAAATTTAGATAAACAATAAGGATAACGAGGTACGTTAGACATGAACGTACCCAACAAAAATGAAAAACAAAAAAAAAATAAAAAAAAAACTAGAGAAGGTGAAATAGGTGAAGAAGTGAAAAAAAAATAAAAATAACATAATTTAGTCTATTAATTATTCAAACCCTTTTATATATATATATATATATATATATATATATATATATATATATATATATATATATAACAAGATATATATAAATAAATGACAAACATTACTCACAAAGAATGAATTTATTTTAAGTTTGTTTTTTCTCGTATAATTCACATGATGTAATATACTTGGTTTCTAAGTTTGGGAGATTTATGTATCAACTCGATAAAATATAATTGATCAAATAGATTATGATATTAATATATTATATTGAGATATGCGAAATCAATTAAACATGTTTCCTAGTATATTAGAGTTAATATATTCGAAGATATAAAAGTTAGTACTCAAGTTATTATGTTGATTTTTATCTATAAAATAAAATATATTCTTCTCTCCATTATTGAGTAATTATTAGCTTAAGCATCTAAGGATTTTTCAAGTAAATTTCTTTCTTGGTTCATCATTGCACAATTTATGCTCTAAAAATTGATAATTCCTTTAAAGGAACAATAATGTAATTCAATTAGGTCATTTAATCTCCTCATAAGATATTAACAATAATTGTACCTACCTAGATAAATATAATAGCTCACTAAGATTATAATGCAAGTATTCTATGTGGAGATATAAAATAAAATAGAATAGTTTTGCAAGGTACCAGGGATATTATACCTTGATATAAAGGTTATTATTATTACCCAAATTATTGTCTTAATATGCATGTATAAAAGATGTTATTTGTTACTTCTAACATACATGTTTTCTCTTTATTATTGGATGATTGTTGACTTAAGCATCGGATAACTTTACAAGATGATCTTTTACACGTGTTATTTATAACTAGTTGTTACTTTCTAGTTAATTAGTCTCTTCAAAAGATCTCGTCACAACATGATAAAATATTTGACACTCAATGTGGGGATAGATAAAACATTTTTTAGACTACACCACTTTATGGTTTAGACTAGGCATGAGTCAAACTCATTAGTCCCATATACACAACCACCAAAATGTTTAACATCAAAGCACACATTAAGGAGGTTTAATAACAAATTAATGTCCAATTAAAAGTCAATCTTACAACTTTACACATCAATGATAACCAACAACATACTACTCTTAAATTCTTGGAGGGGAAAGTTAACCAAAACCACCATAGATATTATGATGATATGAAAGTCTTACATGAGAAACTGCAAATCCTTTTCGAAGACCAGACAAACACAAACAAAAGATGATACTTGTAATAAATTACATTCGTCTAAAGTATCTAAGTCACCATCTAAAAATGAAGTTGAGCACCATGGTAAACACAAAGAATATATACTAAAAATCTCATATTCTCTCTCACTAGATTGAACAAGTAATTGAATCAATAACACAAACTAAATGAAAACACAAACACATTCCAAAACGCATACAACTATAATCATGCATAACCTACAAAACGAGTATGGGAATATCCATTTATAACAAATATAATGGATGACCCTCTTCCTAAGTAACGAAGATCACCAATAATAGATTAATACAAATTTAAGTCAAACTATAAATCTTGAAGAACACATCTTAGACTATTTAATATTCTAAAGTGTACAAATTTTCTTATTACATCAATGTATAAATATTTAGTAAAATATATCATTTAAACCATAATTTAAATGAAGATCTATGTAATTATATTTTACTAAAAGTATGCCAAGAATAAATAACAACATAATAAAATAAAGTTAACATATAATGGATACAATATATTCATCACACCACCACTTCCTCCAGGACACCTCTTCATACAATGTATACAAAATTCAACAACTTCATTGTATCCATCAACACAAAATAAACATAGGTTATTATGATTTCTCGAAATAAAGACATATTTGAGAATAATCTCTTACTCTTAGAAGATTAACATAGCAAAAATAGAAGTACTAAACTACTATAGTAAGAGAGAAATTACTAGTGTGATAGAGAATGGAACCATGGTAGCGTGGGGGATTTTCTTGAAATCATGAATGTGAATGACATGTGTAGTAGGAAGAAGCAAAATGAAATGTAGAATGTTTAGAGTACAGGGATAGGAAAAAAATGAAAATTGAAAAGCCATGGAATGAATGAATGAAACGGCATAGAAGACAAACTGATATTGATGCAAAAAAGACGAACTTAAGGAACACAAACGAGTGCCAAAAATACTCGTTAGTTTATTCTAAAAAGAATTTTTATGTTGGTTAATAATTACTTATAATGATAGTTAAAATAATAATCAACATAATAATTCATTTATTATGATAATTAAAATTTGAATTAACATAAAAAAAATATATTTACTGTAAATATTCAAATTTTAACTATCATGATATGTTTTTATAATTTTCACTACAACATGTATTATGATGGCTATTCACGTAGTATATCATCGTTCAATTTCATTTTTTCATTAGTGATTAATACTTATTAGTAAGTAATACTTATAATATAGAGTGTTGAAACTTTAGAAGAGAAAACTATAACACACTAGTTAAAATTTTAAAAAAATTCCTTAAAAATTATGAATGATAAAATATATATTAAATGAAGAATATTTTTTGAGCTACATGAACAGAGGTATCAAATGAGTTATCTCATCTAGTTCTATAAGTAAAGTAATAAAATTATGTAAGGCTTATAGTGTAAACAAATTATGATTTATATATATATATATAAACGTGACCTGTTATTGTCAATAAACTATTCTGGTAACTTGAAACAAATCTAAAAAAAAATTAAAATTATATATATTTTTATAACTTAAATTAAATTAAAATTTTAGTTTTAAATATAATGATTTAATATATATATATATATATATATATATATATTTTTAATAAAATAATTTTATTCTTAATTTAAAAAATTAATTCTTATTTTATAAAATAGTCAAATCCAATCTAAGCTGTATGGATGAAACCAAAGTTAATTAGATTTAACTTTGTTCATAATTTTTTTATCAAATCTAACTCATTTTACAAATTTATTTTCACCCATCACACTCATTTTGATATGGCCTTAATTTAATACATATAAGAGTTCCAATAATGGAAGAAAAGCTTCTCTCCTTCATAGATCAAAATTAAAATGAAAATTAGAGTAAACGTAATTAGCTAATTATGCAATTAGAGTGTGAAAATAGATTTAACATGATAATGGTAAAAGGTTAAAATTATAAGTTAGGTTAAACAAAAAAATTTGTAACATAATAAGTAGCTAAATCTATTTAAATCATGACTTATATTAACTTAGATCAACTTATAAATTTATAGATTAATATATATATATATATATATATATATATATATATATTATAAATTAATTTGATAAGAAATTCATCCCACATATTTAATATTAAGATTAATTACTATTTTCCATTAATAAATTTCTAATAAATAATAATAATAATAATAAAGAAAAATAATTTTTAATTCTGATTTGAGATTGAATAAATACATTATCTTATAATTTATATATTAAATTATTATATTTTAAATAAAAATTAAATTCGTTAATATAATTTAAATTTTAAAAATATATTTTTATTTTTTATTTTATTTAAATATGTTTTTAATTAATTTATTTAGTATAAATATATTAATATTAAAAAAAATCAATTAGGTCAAAATTCATTCATTAGTTACTTAGTCTAATATAAAAATAAAATTAAAAATTTTGACCCATTATTTTTTTAATTTTCAGATTAGACTCATCACCCAGTTACCAGTTTTTTTACGGATATTCTAACAAATGAAACACTAAATAATTCAGAAAAGAGCAACGCTAAGACTGTACCATTTTATTTCAACAGGTGCCCAGCCTTGTTTGAAGATTCAGTGAATAAATGATCAAATAATATAATTTTCTCACAACTTTAGGATTTATATTTCATATTCACATTCTAAAAACAAGTAATTTGTCATATAACCGATAAATGAACAATGCTAACATCATGGAGAATGAAAGAAGGTATAAACAGTAATGCTAGTTAAAATTCTTATATATAACTTTTTACAATAACGAAACATAAATCAAGAGAGAAAGAGAAAAAACAATACAATTTTAGCAGAAACATTACTCAATTGTATTATAAAAGGACTACTGGTATCTATCTTCCGGACAAAACCGTGGTAGCGAAGGAATAGGTAGATGAACACTCAACATTGCTTTGTGTTCTTTGACTCCACACAAAGTCCAACCCTCGCATGCTACTACTATCAGTAGCACTTGCATCCGAACACAGAAAATCGACAAGAACCATTCTGGTCTCAGGTGGAAGTTCCACACTCACACGCCCTTCAAGCATATCAACAACTTGTGCCATGCTAGGCCTCAATCGTGGCTTCTCTTGCACACACCACAAAGCAGCATAAACCAGTGTCCTTACTTGCCACTCATCAACACCACCACATTCCAACAACCTGTGATCAACAATTTCCATAAATTTGCCTTCCCTCACTTTCTCATTTACAATTTTGGGAAAATACTGCCATTTTCTTTTGGACTTGTCTCTTCCATCTTCCTCCAAGCAAACGTTTTTCCTGCCTCCAACTATCTCCAAGAGAACCATCCCATAACTATATATGTCAGTCTTATTGGAAATATCTTGCTCTAAGAGCCACTCAGGTGCCAAGTAACCTCTTGTTCCTCTGATAGCAGACACAACCATTTGGCTTTCATCCTTGCCAATAAGCTTTGCCAAACCAAAATCTGAAACAAGTGCTCTATAATTCTCATCCAACAGTATATTTTCTGGCTTTACGTCAAGGTGCAAGATCCTTGACCTGCAATCATGGTGAAGATAAGCAAGCCCCTTGGCAACATCAATAGCAACTTTGTACCTCAAATTCCACGACAAGCACCCACCATGGCGCCTCTCAGATACCCTTTTGTGAAAAATCCAACCATCCAAAGACCCATTTGAGGCATATTCATAAACAAGGTACCTAGGTGCTTTAGGAGCATTACAGTAGCCCAATAGCCTCACGAGGTTCACATGATGCACACTAGCTATGGCTGCAACCTCTGACTTGAACTCATTCTCCCCTCTTTCCTCTCCATCGATTCGTTTCACTGCAACTGAAGTTCCATCATTGAGAATACCTTTGAAAACTGAAGCAGAAGCACCTTTTCCAATCAGTGCCTGAAACCCATCAGTGGCTTCCTCAAGCTCCTTGTATCTGAACTTAATGGGCACCCCCGCAACTTTCCTCAAGAAACTGTACTCTATGCGAAGTTCTTGGCCTTCAGATTTCATCTGTGACTCCAATAGCCTCCTCCTGCTGTCGTAACGTTTGCTGACAAGTACATAAGCAAAGACACCTAGAATGACAGCAACACCGGCACCCACAAAGAGGAAGAAGGCCTTTGATAGCTTCAAGGTGACACGAGCAACAATTATGAGCATAACCAGTGTAATCACAGATATCACAGCGATTATATTCACTCTCTTTCCGTCCATCTAAACTTCACTTTTTAAGGTTGAGATGGAAGGGAAGCGTAACAACCCCTATGTTTTCCACCTTTGTAATCTGAGAACCGAAGTGTTGATTGGTTCAGCAGTTTTGCTGCAGGGTGCAGAAAAAGAAAATGTAACTTTCTTTTCTGAATGGTTACAGAAGACAAGGCAAGGGGTGACCATTTCCATCTTCAAAATAGTCAAAACTTAACATATTCGGTAGGTAATATACAATATTCAACTAGATACTATCTTAAGGGTCTGATTGATTTTTGTAGTAAAAAAAATTACCCGAATAAAATATAAAGTTTAAATATAATTTTTTTTTGCTTTTTATTTTAAAAAAATTTAAACCTACACTTATTGATTTGGTTTAAACGTTTTTTATTATAAAATTATTAAGCACATTAGTTTAAAAAATAATAATAATATTTTTAATTACAAAAAATTAATTAATTAAGCGTTGTTTTATGTCTTAATATTAATTATATATTATAATTTCATTTTGATTCAGTTTGTTATAAAAAATCAAATTGAAATGATTGATTATAAAAATTTTCAAATCAAAAATTTTAAAATAAAAAAAAGTTTAATCTATCTTCAATTTTATTTTTGAATTAATTGGATTGTGATTATTGTTGTTGTTTTAAGTCTCACTTACTTTAAAGGCACATAAGTTCCTGACAAAAAAAGAAATAAAGAGATTTTCAACGTTAATAATATACTTGCTAATTCTTTTCATGAATTGAAAATTCTAGATTTATATAACGGAAACATTGGTTTGAATTACAAATACGCAATCCTCTCAATAACCGCTAAAGCTATTAAAATAGGTTGGCTCATTGAATCACATAAGTTGGAAAATATAAATTAGACGAGGATAATAAAAAATTATCTTAAATTAAATCAACTTTATCTATTTAATTGAGTATCTAAATAAATTTAGGTTAAGTTATTATATTTTATAAAATAATTATTTTAAAAAATATATTATAATTTAATCAAGGTAAGTTAAAGATATGTGATTTATTTTATTTTTTTAAAATAAATTATTATTTGAGATTATTATATTATTAAAAAATAATGATAAGAATGAATAATAAAGCCTCTAACTTTTAGCCTTATGTTGTACGTGGATAAAATATTTTGTAATGTAATTTCTAAGAAACTCAAGTACACTAAATTTAAAGTTCTTTTATTTAAAATAATTTATTTGGATAATATAATTTAAATTTATTAAAAATTATTTTTGTTATTTGAATAAAATATTTCAATTATTATCAAGTATAAAAATTATCAAGATTATTATTACTATATTATGAACTAGGTTCAACTCACGGTATTTAATCCTTATCGACTGGGTAAAATTAAATTGAAATAAATTATGATAGATTAAATATAATAAAGTGACATTAAAACAAACCACATTAGTAAAGTAGATTCAATCAAAATAAATTATATTAAATTAGAAAGATTGGATCAAATCGAGTTATAAGATGAGGTGGATTGTGTTAAGTTATGTTAGGTTAGGATGAGTAAAGCTGGGTCAGGACAAATTAAACCATGTTGATTTAAGTTAGATCCAGATAGGTTACGTCAAATCAAGATAAAGTTATCAAGTTAAAAAGGGTTAAATAAAACAGGTCAGACCAACATAAGTTAAAATGTGTCATATTGGTTCAAACGAAGTTAAGATGGGTGAGATTTGGGCTAGACTATGTTCTAGAGTCAAGTTGTGTTCAAATGAGTCAATAATAGTAAAAAATATTTTAATCAAGATTGATTAAAATAATAATATAAAAAATATATATATAAATTTGAGAAAAAAAATAGAGATTTCAAATTCTTATTTTTTAGGTAGAATATGAAATTCTCTTATTTTAAATAATCAAAATATCTCTATCAATTTGTAAAATTTTAATTACTTTTCACAATCTTTATTGAAACAACTAATTTTATCATGATGTATTTTAAATACTCAATAAAAATGAATTATTCTTTATAAATTCTTCATTGTTAGAGTAAATAAATCCCTTAAATTTAAAATATATTTTTTCCAATAATAATATCTATTTATTTTTGTTAAAGAATTGCTTAGAATGGTTTCAAACAAATTTATCTTCATAAAGTTGTTCGTCTAAAAATTATGAAAGTTGCTTTAATCATATTTGTTGTTTAACAAGGTTGCTTATATTTTTTTTCTCTCTAGGGAAGGAAGACACACAAGGAAGAATTTTAAAACTTTTCTATTATTAAAACAAAATTTGATAAAATTTATGAAGTATGATATGACAATGTAGTTTTCAAGATACGAAAATTTTCATGCATCGCGAAACTTGTAAATTTTTTTACAAATACTTTAACATAATTTAAATTTAAAAAATATGTTTTTTATTAACTGTTAAATAAATCATTTTATATAAATATGATTAGATAAAAAATTATAAATTATTTTAAATATACGTGAGGTTTAATCGTAAGTTTTTTACTTGGTCCTTAGTTCAAACTAGACTGAATAGACCCACTGTTTTTCCAACCCTAAAAATAATATTTCTCCTGCTTGTGGGGGTTTCCTTTACAATATTAAAAAGTATTTGTTGTTTGCATGATATTGACTTATTTTAAAAGATTATACATTGCTTAATCAAATGTAAAACATTAATCTTCTGTACCTAGAAAATATTAAAATTTTATTTTATGAAAAAGTCAAAGAGGTAAATTCAAAAAGTTTCTTAATTATTTAAAAATATACGTGATGATCTTTAAACGTGGCCAACTAACTATTTTCTAATACTATATTCTAAAATTCGGAGAAGAATATATGAATATGTACGTGATGTAACCATGTTATATATAACACCAAAAATAAAACATGAGTTATATTATTTATTTTATTTTCAATAAAAATTCAGTCAAATCTCCATCTTCCAAAAATAATAACCTCTTATTGTTTCGGTCCAGAAATAAATATGTCCGATCTTATATTTTGTTTTGATAATATTATTATAGAAAATTTTTATTTTATTGTTTGTTATAAAAATTTTATTTATTATACTTTTATTTTTAAAAGATATTTTAATAATTAAATAAAAAATATGATGTATATAAATTATTTTTAATATAAATATAAAAAAAAACTTGTATTTTTTTATCTAATGAATAAATATTACTTATTTTAATTTATAACAAAAAAGAGAACAGTAAACAAAAGAAGGAATAAAAGACATGAAAGATTCCGAGACTATTAATTTTAGAGGGACTAAATAATATATTATTAATAAATAATAAATAAATATAAAATGAAATAAAAAGATAAAATTGTAAATATATACTTAAATATATTAAATTATTATTAAGTTTGAGAGAGACAAAATCATAAATTATATGAGAATTATAAAATTAAAAAAAATGAAAAAATAAAATTATAAATATACAAATAAATATATTAAATATTTATTAAATTTAATAAAAGTGAAAATAATACATTATATCCCGTAATAAGATCACTGGTTAACGCTACGTGTTGACATTTTCCAGCCGACACTTGATTCAAATGGCGATAAGGTAAACTCATTAGGGATAGTTTCTATGTATGAATAAAATAATACTAAATTTCAATTCTAATATGAATTGGTCCGCGAGATACGTTATATTTTGGAAGGTGGCGCTTAACCAGCATCTTCAAGAGTTCGTGGAATTATTATTATAATAAAATTGTTAGATGAATTTTTATGTTCGAGTTATATTTCAATCTTATATAAAGATGATTAATATAAATTATTTTGGTTTCGAATTCATAAATATATTTAAATTTTTTTATTATTGTTATATTTATCTAAATAAAAGATAATATTATATCGGAGATATATTAACCATTATTCAGATATTGTTATATTCTTTATTTGTATAAAGATATTATATTATTCAATATCAAAAAAGAGTAATTCATAATCTAATAAAAATAAAAGTCAAACTAAGGAAGTTCGTAAAAGACGAAAACCTAAGTCAAGGTTACCGTTTAGCCGACAATGATTAAAAAACTTTTTAAGTGCTTCGAAGCATTGAAGAAGTTACGAGAGTTTTATAGCAAAATCTATTTTAATTTTATGTAACTCAACAATTGTATCTATGTAGGGTCATTAATTGATGCTACATCACTACCCAATATTATTCATCATTACATTAAATACTCCTAACACATTGAATTTTATTTTTCATAATCTCTTAACTTATTTACTTAATATAATACTATATTCATTTATGTCTAGAAATTAAACATAGTTTTTATAATCATTAACAGCAATAATAAATTTTAATTCATAAATATTAGGATTTTTGTGGAGTCAATCCCTCCAAATTGTAAACGAAGATAAGCCTGTGGTGGTATTTATAGGTTATATGAAGAGTAAAATCCAAGACAAGTTGGTACTTACTACGACAAATGGCTAGTTATTACTGGAGGAGGAGATGAACAATATATTATGGCATTTTAATTATTAACAAAAGATAAAAACATTTATTTGCAATGAAGGCACATTAACAACATAAACGCTCTAAGGATATTTGCTTACTCCGTCTTTACAACTTAACTAGGCTTTAATGGTTTAATCTCAAAATATATACATTTTAATTATTTAATCCAAAATAGACGGTGTTATATTGTTATTTTTCTTCCTCACATCTTTAAAACAAGTTATCACAACTTGGTATAAAAGACTAAGTTTGTATTAGCATAATGATAAAAAATACTCCTTATGAATAATATTTTGTATTTGTTATTTTAAGAGTAATTTTGTGTATTCATTATTTAACACAGATATTTAAAGAATTATCAAAAACGACATTCTCTATTTGTGATAAGACAAAAATAACAATAAAGTACGATGGATAATTTATTAAGAAGAACTTCATAATTAGTTTATTAGAGGAGAACGTAACATGAATTAAGTTAAGTGAATTAGTATAAAAATAAAGTGTTTTTATCTCCTCTTTTACTTACACACTGAAGTCACATTCTAAGTACTTGTTTTTGAAAAATATTTTATTGTTTGCAAAACTTCTTTAAAAACATGTTTTATGAAAAGATAACATCTTCGGGTCATCCAATCAACTTGAAATACTTAGTGATTGACAATATTTTGGTTACACGAATTACTAATAAAAAATAATAAATAAATTGTTAAATTAATGTAGTATAATTAACTTGTGTTGAATCTAACATAGACATAATTATAGAAATATACTCGTTATCACAAGTCATTTTTAAATAACTATAAATATAGGGTTGATGAAAGATTGAAAAAAAATAAATCAATGCGAAATAATAAAAACTAAAATTAAATTACAATAGAATAACAATAAAATTAAATTGAAACAAAATTTAAATAACTAAAATTTATAAAATAAAACAAAGTGCTTTTAATTAAATATAAAAATTGTAAGAATAAAGTGTAGAGTAAAAAATTGTTTTAAAATAAAATGGTGTAGTAATTAAACTAAAATCTTCTAAAAACGATAACTTTAAAGCTAAATTGAGAATTAAAATTGGAGAATAGATGAATTGAAGATGAAAATTAAGTAGTATTAGAATAAAATAAAAATTCTAAAAAAATTAATAAAAATTGTAAATTGAATAAGAAAGAACAAACGAGAAGATATAATAATAGTAAATGAGTTCGCCTAACTAAAAATTGAGAACGGAAAAGAAAACAGGGACGAGACAAAACAATCGCTCGCTCCCGAAGTAGGAGGTTGTGATTATGTTTTCATCATATCTTTATTTATAAGGGATTGAATAAGAGAAATTAAGTCTGAAATTAATTACAATAAAATTAAATGTTTTTCAAATTAAAAATTGCAAAACTAGATTGAGTGATCAAATTTACATTTAATTTTTTATTTATGTTGACCTTTAATTTAGTTAGATTGGATTCTCGCACACAAGTTAATTTGCTTGAATCAAAAATTTCATTTATAATATTTCGTAAGTAGGTTGCACAATCAAACTTAGATTTTCGTGAAACTTGACTGCATCAATTTGAGTTTTTATTTCCATTAATTTGACTCATCTCAAATTACCTTTCTCTTGAAAAAAATATACACTATAAATGTATGTATGTATTTTTTTATATTAAAGCTATGCAAAATGTAATAAATTAAGATAAATTAAATTATATAATGCTGTTAATGAAAATATAATGTAAGATTTATTAAAAAAAAAAATTAACTTAAAAAATATTCTTATATACAAAATAAAAAATAAAATGATATATATCAATTATCAGTTTACTTGAAAAGAATATGTAAATAAACTCACCCTCAATCTTTACAAAATATGAATTTCTTTGTCAAAATGATTCTCACTATATATTTTTTAATCATTATATAACTGTTTACATTAATTTTCTACTTCAACTTCGTGCATGGATTCTTTATTTGTAGTTTTATTCACAGCTAACCCTTGTTGCATGCTTAATGATGTTTAACTTGTATTACATATCAAAAGAATGATCAATTAAAAAAATAATAATTAAGATTTTGTTCAACCCTTGGTTCAATTTACTAGAATCCATTAACTATTAATAATTTATCAAACATATATCATGCATAAAAAAATTTAATCTTAAAAATAGGGATTTTTCAAGATTAAATTGAATTTAAAATAAAACAAAACTAAGACAAATATATTAACTATTTACTTTGATTAAATAACCAACTATCATTAATTAAATTGATTCTAAATTGATTAGTATGACACCAATCAATTCAAGTGAAATTCATAAAATGAGTAACTCATTGAATTATGTTTACGGTTTAGTCAAATAACTTCTCTAAACCCTAACAAATATTAAATTCGGATTTTATCAATTAAGAAAATAAATTCAAGCAATCTAACCTCAAATCGTTTGCAAAATTCTTGCAAAGAATTGATTCTTTAGATTTCAAGCTTCCAATCTTGAGCACTTTAATAATGATACTGGATTATTTGCTCGAGCATGTCAGCATGTCATATACCAAACTCCATCCACACTTGCTTGGTACAATGTCCACTAGAACCTTAAGCTTCCACAAAAGACAACTACGTGATATCTCGAAGATTAACGTAATATGTGATCAATTAAGATCACATGATAACATGAACACTAATTTAACGAGATCAATTAATATCATGTGGTAGGATCACAAATAATAGCACGAAGACTAATCTAAAATGGGATTGGTTAAGATTACATGATAACACAAATGTTAACTTAATGAAATCAATTAAATTTATGTGACAAATTAGATAATATCTTTTTCTATTTAATATATATTCTTCATATATAACTTATAAATAAATAACTAAATTAACACTAATAACATAAAATAAATAATTAAATAAACAGAATTTAAAAAGCATATTGATAATGTTTCAAAAAATATATCACAAAATATTAAAATATGCTATTGGTTGAGAGAAATATAATTTAGAGGTGGGTTTCAAACTACAAAGGACAACACTGAAACAAATATGCAACAAGTTTGATTATAAAATTAGTCAAAACTAATAATGTGCGGAATTTTGGATACAACCACATTACCATCATACTTCTATACTAATACCATGCTACAATAATAGTTCTTGAAATCATCAGGTAGAAGATTGATGAAAATGTTCCTATATTTTCAAGAGATGATTTTAATGATAATTTAAGTAAATTACATTCAAGTCAACATAATTCAAAATGAATTAAGGACAAACTGAATTTAAGACGTTGGTGACAATATGAAACATTTCCCTACCTGCCCAAGATATGTTTTTGATAAAGATGATGATTCAAGCAAGCCCAAGATGATTCCTGAAGACTAGAGTCTTAAAATACTGGATATGAAGATACAAGTTGATGAAGTAATATTATACTTAAGTCTCCAAAGCACAAGTGTGATAAAATTCATAACATGATATTTTTCACTGTCATAATCAATTATGATGCATCATAAATGGAAAAATGATTTTTTATGTCATAATTGATTATACTTGGTAACATAATCAATTATGACAATTCAAATTTAAAAAATATATGTGTTTTGAAGAATAAATATTTTTAAATATATCCTAATTTTTATTCACGAAAATATTAATATCCAACGACCATTTTCTGATGTTATTTTTCTATTTAATTAAGTTTTGATGAAAAATAAAAAACACACAATTATAAAATTCGAAAATACAATTTATATTCAATCAGTTTTGAGAAAAGAATTCTGAGCAAGACAACATAGATATTTTACACCTTCTGAGAAAACTCTCTTCTCTACTGCCTTTTGTGTTTTCATTGTTAATCACACTTGTTCTTGGAGATTGACATTCTATAGACTTCTACAATTTGTTGTCTCCATTACCCAGATGTGACTGTTCTTATCTTACTCCTTCATCCTTTGTGGGTTTAGGAGGTGTTTTTATCCTTTGATTTGTTCAGGGAGGTGTTCATTCCTAGTGTAATTATAGGGAGGTGTTCATCCTTAGTGAGATTCTAAGGAGGTGTTTTTCATCCTTTGATTTGTTCAGAGGAGGTGTTCATGGGATTCTAGGGATGTATTCATTCTTAGTGGGTTTCTAAGGAGATAATTGTCTTTTTAATTAGTTTACTTTTTACTGATTTTTCTGCTGAGATGATTGTAATTTGTAAACTGAATTTGAAAATTAGGAGTCACTCTTGTATTAAGAGTTGACTGGGAACTGAATATAGGGTTGGTTGTATCCGAACCAGTATAAATCACTGTGTGCTCTTCTCTTTCCCTTATTTCTTTCTCTTTTCCTGATTATATTATCGCTTCCGCTTTATCTGTGTTCAAATAAATTATTGACTCACAAATAAATTTTTAATTTAACATCTATTAAAATTTGTGTATCTATTTATCCTCTCTAAATATCATTTGTCTAATAGTTGTGACACATTCTGATAGGGGTGGTAAGGATAGTTACATCTTAGCCATGTTATTGGACATCAAAAACAAAGAGATCAATCCTGATAAACAAATTGATGCTCTGTCTGATACTATATTTGCAGTATTGGAAATGCTTTTGTGGATCAAGCTTTGAATGACAAAGGATGAAGGACATTGCCAACCACAGCCACCACCTTGCTAGACAATGGAGATTTAACAAAAAGAGGTAGTATGCGAGTGGTGATCTTGAAAAAAAGTGGAGAAAATTTAAATTTGTCCAAGTTTCTTATGTATGGTGGAAAGCATATGTAGCGATGATCCTAAGTAGGAAATGAATCTTACATGTTAATACAAGATATTTAGTTAACAGGTCTTACATTAAAATATTTTGATAATAAATCTTACGCACAACAATAATTAGGTAATGAATCTTACATGTTAAGATACTTAGTTAATCTTTTATGTTAAAAAATCCTAGCAATAAATTTTAAATGCAAGATATTAATATATTAATTAAATACTTTAATATATATCGATATAATAGTTTTATTAATTTATTCAATAAAAATATATTAATAAAAAAACGAATAATGTTTATAAATATTTATATAATTAAGAATCCAATGTGTTCTTTTGACTAGGTTAGTGTCTTAAAACGACACGGTCACATTTTTTTTGTCACCCTATAAACTAACCGTAGAGCGAGGCAAAGCAAAGGAGTACCTGCAGTGCCGCCAAAGTTAGGCTGCCCTAAAATTGAACGGGGCAGTGAGAGTGTGGAACATGGGAACCTCTGCAAACGCTGGGGCAGGTGGAAGAGGCGCCCCTGTCCCCAAAGATGTTGACTACGCCAATTACTTCTGCACCTATGCTTTTCTCTACCACCAGAAGGAGATGCTCTCCGATCGTGTTCGCATGGACGCTTACTTCAACGCCATCTTTGAGAACAAACGACACTTCGCTGGCAAGGTTAGCCTCTTCATTATTGCATTTTACTCATCAATCATTAAACACTGAGCCCCGTCTTGTATGAACCTTTGCTACTGGAACATAGACATTTAGTTAACCTTGGACAAAAAGGTTGAATGCCTTATTATGAGCAGAGATTAGTACAGCTTTAAGTTTTGTCTTACATCATTTCTGAAAAAATTGGAAGTTTATATATATATATTTTTTTTCAAAATGAGAATAACCTTTGTTACTGTGTTATAATTTGAGAGCGTTGGTTAGGGTTATTACTTGTGTTTATGTTGTTATTTGTTGGGAGTGATTTTGAACTGACATGATGAGTTAATTTGGGAGAAGACTGTTTTGGATGTGGGCACTGGAAGTGGCATTCTTGCTATATGGTCTGCACAAGCAGGTGCGAGGAAGGTGTATGCAGTGGAAGCGACCAAGATGTCAGAACATGCCCGTGCACTCGTCAAAGCGAATAATCTTCAGAATGTAGTTGAGGTCATCGAGGGATCAATGGAGGATGTTACCTTACCTGAGAAAGGTTAGAAATATTAGGATCTGTTTAGTTTGCTTAATGTAAGTTTTTTTTGTTTATGTTGCTTGTGTCCGTTAATGATTAAGAAAATGACATTTTTTTTCTTTGTTCCCCTTTGCTAAATTATAATTTGTTGGTTATCATTGTGATTGCCTTAAATGTTTCTTTATAACTTGCAGTTGATGTGATCATCTCTGAGTGGATGGGTTATTTTCTTCTGCGTGAATCCATGTTTGATTCAGTTATACATGCTCGTGACCACTGGCTCAAACCGACAGGAGTGATGTATGTATTCTTGCAACGTTTTTCCTTCCTCATTGCAGAAAAAAATGTTGTATTTTTATGCATTTACTTGAATTTATGTTTAGTGTCTTCTTAATATGCACCTTACCATCTTATGTATTTGTCCATTTTGTGTTTTAGCTTGTGTTAATTAGAATCGGTATTGTGGAGTTCATTCTTCATATTGGAGCATTCTTTCTTTCTCTGGGATTTTGTTGAGATCCGCAAGAGTATTTTTTGGTCAATTAATATTTGATTTTACATCTATATTGTATTGTATATGCAAAATGCTACCAGTGGGGGCTAATTTTTTAAGCAAACCTGTTTACCAAAACTATTGTTATACACAAATTCCGAAATTTGTTTCCAAACTGACAGCTAAACAGAGGGCACAAAGTTTTGTTGTGTGTATCATATTCTGTAGTTTTCAATTGAATGGATTAGCTTCAAAAATGCGGTGCCAAACCTGATACATGAGTTAAATATAAAACTATTCTGTGCTTATCTGTTTTGGGTTGTTTCATTGTCTTGCCATGTTGTGCTTACCATCCTCTTTTCATTACATTACCAATGGTGATAATTTACATATATAATTAATTTGATTGTTGCCTGATGGTTATGTTATTGATTGTGGTTACCTTAGTGCTTAGCATACTTCTTTGGTTGCTTCTGGTGTTGCCTATGCAATTGGTGATTTAAGAGACTTTGTTTGGCAGGTATCCTAGTCATGCCCGCATGTGGATGGCACCTATCAGGACTGGGATAGGAGATCACAAATTGGCAGAATATGCGTCAACTATGGATGAATGGCACGCCTTTGTTGACGAAACAAAAACCTATTATGGTGTTGATATGGGATCCTTAACAAAGCCTTTTTCAGAGGAGCAAAGGAAATATTATCTACAGGCAAGTTGTATACTATGGTGCCATATAAGTTAATTGATATATTTGTAGTGAAATAAAATTTTGGTCATGGTTGGAAGGCAATCAGTTCTTATAAATAGGAAAAAGAGAAAAGAAATTAAGATTTCATTCTGACAGGAGAAGGGGGCAGGTGTTGTTGGCACTACAATGATCCCACAATGTCACTGCAGTGGATTTTGGTTTGCAGCTTGTAGGTTGCTTAGGTTTTTTAATTTTGGGTTGGGTTGGATTTTGGGTCACGTTGTATGACCCGTCCTTTTTTAAAAATATCTATTGGGCGCAAATCAGCTACATGGACCCAGAACAGCTTTAGAAGTAAAAAATTTAGGGTTTTACTATATTCAGGTCAGGTTACGTGGATCTGGGACTTCTTCCTCATGGCAAACTAGGGTTCTGTGGCATGATTTCCACCATGGTTGTTCCATGACACCTTTCTCTGATGACGAAAGCAGCTGCATGAGCGGCAACGAAAAATCCAATTCACTACTGTAATGTTGTGGTGGCAAGAAAAAAATCCATCATAACTTTTCACCCCGGTGGTGCCACAATGATCGATTAAAACTAGTGAATTAGTTTTAAAAGTTCATTTTGGTATTCATATAGGAATTGTCAAAGTTTTGTGATGGCTTGTACAATGACAAGTCTGTGTTTTACCAGATTGAAAGATTCTAGTTCCAAAACTTATTTTTGTGTGATTGTGGTAGGATTGCATGCTGGACACCTGGACTGTAAAAGGGGGTGGGTGGGGATTTTGGGTGATCGGAAAATTATTTTACCAACCCAAACTTACCAAATGTTAGAAATTTTCTTCCGGCCTTCTCATTGTATAATAATGAACCCCCTTTGATCCATGAGCCTTCGCTGCTGTGATGTTCTGGGCACCTTTTCTGCTGTATCGTGTATGGCTGATAGGGCTGTAGTGGTTAGAGAATAATAAGTTAAGGTTGTTAGTTTCTGGATGTGATCTTGGACAGAATCTTCCTTCTCCTTGCACAGTGTTCTAACTTTTTCTTCATGATGTAAAAGTTTGCTGATCAGATTTTTGTGATTAATACCATCAGTTTTCTGGTCATTCTAATCTGGTTCCTAATGGCCTGGCCTGGGTGAGTGTCAGTGGGTGATTGTGTCAAGTGGACCCATGAAGGATGTGTGCAATATTGTCCATGTGCAAGTGTTTGCTGAGATTCTGCACATGTAGGTGGCCTGATGCCGACTCTGCACCTGTGATTGTGCATTCCATCATTGTGTTGGAGCTGGAATTGTGTATCTGTGTGCCATATGCCTTTGATTTCTGCTTCTGCATATATGTGACCGTTTGATTTGTTCGGGTGCTCCTTTGGGTTGTTTTGAATTGGTTGAGACCAAAGCTGCTATTTTGGTGTTCTGTCATTCATTCCTGTGTTTTGTGTAAAGTTATTTTCTTATGTTTAAAATGTCATCTGCCTCTGGTCAGCCCTCTCTGAGTTTTATTATTTCAGTTGTAACTTAATAACTTTTGTTTATTTAGAAGTCATGTATCTTGGTATGAAATCACATCCATTATGCCTTGCATACTATAACTTGTGTATATGTTGAGGAACTTGTCATTTGATGTTGTTTTGTGTTATCTATGTGTGCGGGCATGTATGGGGTGTGTGCATTTCTGAGCAAAACATTAGATTTTAGGTAGGATCTTACATTTTCACATGACAATCCCATGTTTATGTGTCTACTTCCGTTGTCAGATCCTAGGTAGGATCTGCAAGTTTGAAAACATGGTTATTGAATGATGAATTTGAATGGTTTCTTTTTTATTTGTGGGTGTTATTTGATATATAAGAAATTTGGATTCGTTGGGCTATGTTAATGCCAAAATATGATATAGAAGGATAAATATTGGTCATGAAACTAATTGATGCTTGCTGTGATTTCTTTAGACATCTTTGTGGAACAACCTTCATCCACATCAAGTCATTGGAACTGCTGCTATAATAAAGGAAATTGATTGTTTAACTGCCACAGTGACTGACATAGAAAAAGTTAGAGCAAATTTTTCTTTGTCAATATCAATGGAAAACACAAAGCTGTGTGGATTTGGAGGGTGGTTTGATGTACATTTTCGGGTAAGTTACTCGGACCTTATTAATAGCATTTGTATCATCTATCAAATATCATAAATCCTAATTCTATTTTTTTCTATTTTAACTCACCAGGGAAGAAGTGAAGATCCAGCTGAACAGGAGATTGAGTTAACTACAGCTCCCAGTGTGGATTACGGCACACATTGGGGCCAACAGGTTTGTGCTGCATCAACTTCTTGGCGTTAGTTTTGTTCACAAAATAACTTGTCCAATATAGGTTCATTACTTTTGAAAACAATTGAACACTATTGAAGGAATATAAACTTCTTTTGGGTATATTTTTATTTGCTATAAATTAAAACAGCTAGACACAACATAAACATTTCATGTTTGACTTAAAATACATGATGCTTTCTTCTGACTCTTGCTCTTACTCTTCCTCAATGCTCCTCTATCCTTTCCACCTCTATCAAAAAGTTGTGTTATGAGTTGACTCAGACACTAGTAGTGTGCAGTTATTCACCTTGCTTCAAATACATGCTTAAAGTTCAAGTTCTATTCTCAAAAGTGCATTTTCAAAATTTTAGAAAAGACATAACCTTCATACTTTGTGAATCGTGATGCATGTCCCATGTAGCATTTATTGTTCTGGTCATAACCTACTGTCTGACTTTTATATTCAGCTGCATCATAAAGTTAGTTTCATGATATATTTAATCATTGGACAGGTTTTTCTCTTGCATCCTCCTATGCATCTGAGTGAAGGTGATGATTTAAAGGTTTCTTTTCTAATGAGTCGCTCAAAGGAGAACCATCGTTTGATGGAGGTTGAACTTGGATGTGAGATTCATCAGCACTCTGGCAAGCTTCTTGCACCTTTCAAAAATAAGTACTACATTGAGTAACAACATAGATTCCAAATTCTAGGGACTACAGGATACAAGGTAGATACTATTGCCCTTGATGCTCTATGATAATATCATATAATTACATGCCTAGGTTGATCGGAATGTTCTTTAATAGTTTTCTTTTCCACCAAGTGCATCTTTTGATATTTTGAAGAAAGCAATATTACTGAAGAATGCTTGGGACCTTAACTATTAAACTTAAGAATCAAGCTTATTTTCCACCAATTTTAATTTTTCATGCTAGTTCCTAGGTTTTCAATTATATTAATAAGTTGTATCCAGCATGTTGTCAATAGAGAAAAGCAATGAGCTTTTTCTCTCTGTAAAAAGAAAAAAGACTCAAGCTTATTTTTGTGAAATAATTAAACAATTACATTTATGATGCAGTTTTTGAAGCAAAAATAACTCCAAACTAGTAATCTTTACCATTTTTTCTTTTTACCAGGAACAAGGATCATGTGATTTTTATCAAATTGAATTGGATGTTTATCGCCCGGTTGTAGCTAGAGATAAAAAAAGCAGTTGCCGCCACATAAAACAATTACGGTTCTTCATTTGGTTGTTTATGACTTGAGACTCAAGTACATTTAGCATGTTTCAGTGATGGTTGGATAACCCAGTGCTGGTTATCGATACCTGAGTGTCAGGGAGAGCCTCGTGGCCCTTTTTGTTTAATATATTGAAGTTTGTATTAATTGGTTAATTGTGGGATTTCTGATAGCTTTTACTTTCGGATTTAATTCTACAACTGATTTTTTGGGATGGAATCCAGAAACCTGATAGCTTTTCTATTTTTTATGGTTACTGTGGGATTGTCCAGAGATGTTGCGATCTATTGGATATATATTTTTCCTTGTTTGCCAAATGCTTTGCAGTAATCGTAGCTAGTCTAGAAAGTTTAGAGATATATATGCTTATGAAAAATCTAGGGAGTGTATATTGGATTGGTTTGACCCGATTATCTGAAAAAACCAACAAAATTCAATCTAGAAAATTGAGTTAGAAAATTTGATGGGATAAAATTTGAACCAATGAACCTGATCTTCAAGTCATGATGTATTGCAACATCCGTGATGCATTGTTGCACTTAAATGAATCCTGTTTAACGTATTCATCCACCTATAGCTTTATCTTTGCATCAACCATTTCATAGTCAACCTTTGTATCCACCTATATGGTTTAGAACTTGTGCTTTAATGCTTTTACTCCCTTTCGATTGTTTTTTCACCCATATTTTCTTATTTACAAGTATAATCAATGGACGATTTAATAAATTCTAACCCTATTCTTTTTTAGTAGGTAAAAGTTACTTCTAGTTTATAAAATATGCTTGATATTAATTCCTAAGCGCAATATAAACCTCACATGCATACGTTACAACTATTATGGATGAACATGAATTTTATTGTATTTTATTCTTTTCAATTGGGTGATGTAATCTTTTACATATTGGCAATCGAATTTGAGTTCTATGATTTTGAATTCATTTTGATGGGTAATAACAACTGAATATTAGTGGGAAATCAAAGTTGTGAACAGTATGAACTTAAACTCATAATATTCCTTCTCTGCATGAAATCTTCTTAAATGGAAAATTCTTTAAGAAATTTCAATCCATTACAATCTATATCTCTAAACACACCACGTTTTTTAGATATTCTTTTCCATAAAATTTTATATAACTGGTTATTAAAAAATGATAAATCGTAATTTTAATGTCCTTTGATTTCTTTTTATGCTGTCTGTTTTTTTTTTTTTTCCTGTGACTTTAATCTTAGTATTTTAGACTAGTTTTTGTTATATCTTTAACTATTTATATATTTTTTATTTTTTTGTGTGTTTTAATTAATTAAATTAATTCATAATAATACCTTAAATGAATATGTTTGTTCTAGAGTTTAATTTTGAATAAAAATAAAATAAATGTATGCAAATTTGTTATTATAGGACTCGTTAAAAATATATCACCAGAACGAAAATGGTGAATAAAATTTAAAAGGAGCCCAATTTTAATTTAGCCTAACAAATTTTAAAAAGAAATAAATTCAGTTTTTTCTTATAAATTAATAGCAACTTATATTACAAAAGTTTGTCTTCAATAAAAAAAATAAAATTATCTAAACAATACCTCATTACAGTTCAAAATAAAAATTACTAACTAAATAACAAATTATGCACCGTTCTTTTTATTATTATATATATATATATATATATATATATATATATATATATATATATAATGGTAAAACATAATTTTTTTTATCTCTTTTACATCTCTTTCTTTTTAATATTCGTATATTATCAGTAATAAATTTTTCATTTAATTTTTTTTATCAATAAACTTTGAACACCATCATTCAATATTGCTCACAATAATCATTTATTTATAAAGAATTATTATTTGTTTTATTTTATTTTAAGAATTCTTATTATTTTTGAATGATTTAAAAGATTAGTTCATTTTAACTCTTAAATTCTAAGAAAATAAATAAATAATAAGAATAAACAGTAAATTTTTAATTATTATTCTTAAATTAAATGAATTATTATTATTATTATTTGTTAAGTAATGGAACAAAAGGACGTAGTAGTACTAGAGTTGAACACTTTCCATGATGAGGATTGAGAAGAAATAGTCAACTTTTTAGACAGTGACTGAAAGATATTGATCGGATAATTATGACTACAAATTTATTCTGTTCTTCTTTCTCACCATTTTCATTCTCTATCCAACTAATGATTCTCAATTACCCAACTCAATATATGTGTTTTGATTGTTTTAGAGAGAGAAGAAAAACTCAAAAATAAAACCAATTTTTAAAATTATATAAATAAAACTATTATCAAACAACTATTTTAATTATTAAAAACTAAAATACTGAAAATTATTTTAAAAAACGATAAATAAATAATCCCTAACTATTTTTTTTAGTTTTTATTAATATTATTAATGTTTTTACCGATAATTGTACAATACAGTATGTTTTTATTATCATTAAATTATTAAAGTTAATTTTTATTTTTATTGTAATTTTCTATAATATTCTATGTCATGAAATAATTTTAAAACTAGAATTATTGAATAAAATTTTTGTTTTTTTTAACTTATTTTCAAAATAATTTTTCAAAACTAATCTTAATTTTAGATATTTTTCAAAAAATATTTAACTAAACCTATGCTTCCGTTAAAGAATTTTTCACTTATATTTACGCTAAAATGAAAAATCGTGTTTTGAAAAAAAAAACTTGATTTTGTCAAGAAATTATAATATAATTTTTCATTAAAACAATGTAAATAACATATTTTGTTATAATTAGTTTACACCACTATAAAATAGTAAAAAAAAATTAATAATAACTTACATGTTTAATTTACTTTAGTTTGATTAGAATATTCACTATATTTATTATTTATCACCTGTTTCATAATTATTATAAAGGAAAATTTTTTTAACTTAACACATAAGTATATATAAAGACTAATAATAAAAACATGGCACTAGATTCAATCTAACACAAGACTGAAATATTATTCTCTTCTAGTTATGCCAATTCTCATAATTGATTGAGGTTCAATTAATTGAGACTGTTTCTTTATTTTTGCTTTTTTTTTTAATTAAGTTAGGAAGCTAGGTTTTATTATTAAACCCTTTTAAAAATTATACCAAAATCATAATATTCTAAGTTATTATGTTTATTATTATATTTTAGATATTAATTTGTTTGAAATTTTAGTTTATCATTATGTTTAAAAAGTTTTTGAGATTAAAAAGAAAGAAAATATATATAAATTATGACTACTAAATTATGTGAGACTCATAAAATATAAAAACGAAAAAAAACTAAAGAATAAAAATAAAATTAAACTCTAATCTTAATTTATTAGTAAATACTAATTAATATTATGTCTAAAACCGACTATGTTTTGATCTAATATCTAATAAAAAAATATTATTAAAATCAATTATTTGTATATTTTATATATTATTTTTAATGAAAAAGTACCCCTCTTAAACAATAGAACAAGTAGTAGTATAATTTAGTAGGAATGTGAAATATTGTGAATATATGTAAATTAGAAGCAAAAGGGGTTGCTGGAAATAGGATAAGTTCTTAAGCAACTCCAAACCACTCAGAACAGGAAACGTGGAGCAAGAAGTGAAGCTAAGTGTTTGGCCACATGAGCCATGAGGGCCACAATTGTTCAATGGCTTGTGCTGGCCAATCCTTTTGTCTTTGACAAGAATAACTCCACCCTTCGGCTTTGTGAGAATCTCATAACCCTTTTGACCCCCCCCCCAGTGTTTAATCAAAGAGATCTTTTTTTTTTTTTTCTAACTATCCTATTTATGTGACATTGTTTGTCATTAATTAAACGAGTTTTTCGCTCACATGATGCTCTTAAATGGTCGGTTTAATTTAACTTTTTTTATACATACTTTATTGCCGGTTTATTAATTGTTCAGTGACAGATTAAATGGATCAAATTATAATTAAATTATGATCCTTGAACTTTACTTTCTGAAAAATAAAAGTTCTTAAAAATAAAATATAGTATTTTAATGATATTCTCAAAGTCAGAATTATTTAAGATAACACATTAAAATAATATATTTTATTTCTAAAAACTCTTATTAGATATATTCTAAGTAAAAAAAAATAGTATGCTCTAATTACCGATTATATTTAATGGTAAGTGCTCGACTTAAATATAGTTATGAAATCTTTCAACATGTAAATTTATTTTTCAAATTGTAATTAGTTTCTGTAATTGTAGGATATTTTTCTTTTTACAAATTATATTTTTTTACGTGATAATCACTCATAATATTTATATATATATATTTATATATTAAATGACATAATTAAAACGTGAAAACCTAAAATTATGTTATAGTACTTAAAAAAAAGGTGGTTATAATGATATATGTAAGCATCAAAATGGATATTAAATATAAGTAAAGTTGTTATTAATATAAAGGTTAAATAAGTGAAAAATAAGATACAGGTTTAGCAAAATTAAAACAAAATTAAAACGTAAAGAGATAAAAAGAATGTTGGTAGAAAAGTAACAGATGGTGGTAATGGATAATGGAGCATTTGATTGATGAACTTAACTCATGTAGATATTTTTCTCTTACTGGAAGAATAAACTGATGTAGATATTTTATGGTCAAGAAAGTTGATGTTAACTTTTGTTCACAAGAAATATTATAAATAATGTCAGATTTAAAAAAATATATATAAAAAAAACATTACCAATCTTTTTTGTTTGTTTATTTGTTTTTAAGCATCGGGGTTGTAATTGTCAACGAAATATTTTAATTAAAATTATGCAATGAACAAAATAAATATTTCTATAAATTACAATTGTGTTATGAATAGGTGAATTTATAGAAATATTTTTATAGGGGTGATTTAGAGAACTACAATTAAAGTGTTGATAAAGAGCGGTTAGATTTTGGACCAATGATTTGTGAACGAAAGAAAAAGTGCTTATTTTTGCTTGGTGCTTTTCCGTGGTCATATCAGAATCTCTCTGCAATGAAAATTACAGGATAACAGGATACCCCAAGCATTAGCATTCAATGTGATTGTTAGCTTTTTCATAATATAAAATGCTATTTGTATCCACTTATATAATATATTATTTGTAATTTATTTTTAATTGATTTATTTACTAAAATAATTATCATTATTTATCGTACTTTTGTCTCATATAAATTTATAAATTTACTTAAATTTTAAAACTGTTGTGTAGTATATAAGAAACTTTTGAATGTATAAGAAAATCACATTTTAAGTTACACTTTGATATAAGAAAGAAAAACTTGAAAAAATAAAATAAAAATTACACCGTAGATATTCTCGGATAAAGGATGATAGGACTATTTATGGGAGGGGAAGAAAGAAACCGAATAAACATCTAATTCGTGGGATTAAGATTAAATTTTTTTCTCCATGTAATGAAATTTGTCTAAAAATAAGGAGTGTGTTGAAATATTTTTATAATATTATAATATATTGAAATAACATAAGTAGAAAGAAATAATGAAAAGTGTATTGAAATTATATCAGTTGAAAATATTATACTATGTAAATAAGTATAATATAATGTAAAATATTTTTTTATATCAATTTTTTTTATTGGATTAGTATATACTTCACGTAATAAAAATGTAATGATAATTTTAAAATTATAACAAACTTTTTTACAAACGAGATTTAACATAAATTTTGTTTTGTTTTTTTTAATCTTTTTTAGGTTTCATTCTCCTTTTGAATATGAGAGTTTTTTTTATTAAGTAACGACAAAAATAATATTAATGTGAATTTTTAAGGTGTTTTTGGACCAAATTGTACAACGACATCTATTGGTAGCTTTGAATATTGAGCTTCTATTACATGAGAATGGTCAAGCCATTGATCCCAAAACATCTATCTTTTCCAAGAACAATATATGATTTCATCACGTCTTTATTTTTATTTCCATCTTCATTTAATTAGAGTTTTTTTTTTCAAATTTTTATGCTCTTAATTTTGATTAACATCTAATGAAAGTATTCGATAGAGGTCCTTCCATTCATAAGAAAGTGTTTGTGGCTCCTAATGTCTCCCTCCTTGACTATGTTCACATTAGTCAGACTTCACCTGCATTATTACTATTATTTCTTATTTATTATTATTATTATTATTATTATTATTATTATTATTATTAATTAGTTAATTATTGTTTGTTTTCTTCTCCTCATATTATGCTTCAGAATGTCTAAACTTGGAAATTAATATCTATTTTACACTTGATTTTAAGAATGTGAAAAAAACTGTTTTAAATGATTTTTAGTTATTTTTAAATTATTGAAGATTTAACTGACATAAATTTGCGTTAAATCTTTTACTAATTTGATATAAATTTTTGTTGATTAGTTATTAAAAGAAATTTATATTTTTTTTTATTATGGATGAAGTCTAATTAAACATAAAAAAAATAAAAATTAGTAAAAAAACTATTATGTATAATTTGTTTTATTGAATTAAGTTAATTTAATTATTTTATCCATTTTTATGTATAGTTTATATATATATATATATATATATATATATATATATATATATAATTTTATTCCTATGGTTATAGATATCTTTTTCACGTAATTTGTATAATTAATTATGCCATATGCTGAAAATCATATAATTAATTATATGTATACAATGAATGACGTCAAATTTTAATATTAATTTGTTAAGTGAACCAAAGCTATGTGTACTACAAATTCATTAGGCCAATGAAATATCAATAAATATTTTAATAAATATCAATAATATATTGTTTTAAATTATAAAACATTTTTAATATACTTTCTTGAACGATGCACTAAACATTTTCTAAATTACTTTCATGGAAAGTTTTACAAAATCCGTGACTTGAACTGCACCTAACAAACCCAAGATCCAAAAATTTGGTCTAGCGAGGTGCATTATTTGCTTCTTTTTCACAAAATTCATGCACTTTTTGCTTTCGTGGAAGTGCAGATGCAGGAATTAGAACCACAGCTTTGAACCAAAACAGTGTGCTCATGATTTAAGTTCATAAGCTGAATCATGGGTCAAAAACATGCATGCATTGTCACATTTGTCAACGTTTGGCTATTTTCACGACCTTCTTGAGGCTGCTACCAAACCATACTCAAGAGTTCCACACAATAATCTTCAACCACTAATCCGGGAAGCAAGCAAACAACAACCTTACACGACACTACTCAATTCAACTTGACAGTGTCTGGGTTAACATCATATATATCTTCATGCTTCATGATGCTTCCCTGAGATGGATCCTTTAATTTTGGCACCACTCAATCTTTGGTTCATGTATTCTTTCCTTCCATGAATTCTGGGACTTTCATGCAAATTTTTCGATTCTCCGTCTCTCGTAGGAAATGTTTATTCAAATCTTTAAATGAAACACTATTTTTTTTAAAATATTTTTTATTAAAAAATTATAAGTGACATGATAAATTATTTAAAGTTTTTTTTAGATGTAAATAAGGAGAAAATCTATATCATAGATACATCTATCTCTCACACTACCTTAATCATATTCATTCTTGTGTTGAATGTAAGTCAAACTATTTATAATGCATTGTTTTCATTGCTCCACTTCACCTAACATAGCATGATGTAAACAAAAGATAACATTTTTATTTTAGTTATAATCTTTTTTGTCAATTTAGTTATGTCTTTATTTGATTACATAGTATTGGTTGTCATTTTTTAACGGTCATTAATCTAATAACATAAAATTTAAAAGCATAAAGTATAAATAATTTTATAAAAATTAAAAAAAAAACACATAAGAATTAAAAACCTATTTCAACCTTAAAAATAGATAAAAAAAAAGTTAGAAGATGAAATATTAATTTTACCAAAAGAGAAAAAGGAAAGGGAAGATAACACTCTTTGCAATTGGCAAGAGCAAAAGTCTGATTTTGTGTTTTGAAACGAATTTTCTTTGTCGATTGGGAAAGATGATTGCAACACACTCATCTGATTGAGACCATCTTCATAAATAAGACCTTTCAAGAAAGTTCAACCTTTGTATTTTATGCTCTCTTTTTTTCTTTCTTTCAATTCTCTTAGTAGAAAAGCTTTTCTGGCATTATTCCCTTTTCTCATAACTTGGTTGAAACTTCCCATCAACCATTATTCATTTTTTGTTGTACATTCGCACGGATACATGAAATTAATATGCCATAAGATGCCACATTTCAAGATAAAATTATATGTACAAGTAGGTCTATTTTTGTGAATACAAGTGTATAAAAATGAATATAATTACTAAATAACTTGGATAAGTCATGTTTCTATGGGCATGTCAATCACATTGTGCAAATTTATTCTATTTTATCCCACTAAGTTTTTTTTTAATAAAATGCCAAATCATGTCAAATATGAGAAAGAATATTCTATTCTAGCAAAATTAGCATTATATAAATTATCTTAGCTTATAATGATGAAAAGAATGAGCACAATGAACATGAAGAATTTAAATCATACACTACTCTTTACATCAACATAAATACTTATATATATCTAATTACAAAAAAAAAAATTCTAAAATATTTCTCTACAACAGTTATTTTATTGATTTTGTTTTTATCATCATTCAGGTTAGTATCTATAATTTCCCGATTTGAGTTCAAACCTCCATATAATTGACTTAAATATTAAATTAATGATTTTATCCCTATTTTCCATATACTACTAAGAAATATAATATTTTTATAATTTCATTCAAAATTATATACTATATTTTTACTATTTTTTTGTTTCATCTATGTACTAACTTAAATCATGTTCACATATATAATTAGTAACATTTTATGAAAGACTAAATTTTTTTTATATAAAAAAAATATAAGTGATAGGAAAGAACAAACATAATATACATAATTTATCAATAGGGCATTTAAAATTTTTAATCAAAAAGATTGATTTCAACTTTATTATGAAATAGTAACTGAATGAAAACATTATTTTACTAAAAAAGAGTTTAAACTATAATTAAAAACAAGATTGCATCTAAAAAGAGTATATTAGTGTCAAACAAAAATATATTAATTCCGTGAGCAACATGTGGTGGAGTAATGGTACCAGTGGGTCACCTCAAATTAAAGTTAAGTGAGAGAATAATTTTTTTTTTATTATATATTTTATATATAAATTAATTTTTTATTTATATAAATATTTTTAACTAATTTTTAATATTAAGATTTATAATAAAATATTTATTTTATTTATAGGTAACTTTAATTAATAATTTATTTACAATACAATATTTTTTATATATTTTTAAGTAATTATAATTAATAATTAATTTATAATAAAATATTTATTTTATTTTCGAATAATTCTAAGTAGTATTTTTTTCTGTTTATTCTTAATTACGAAGATGTCTTAAATTAAGAAAGAGTTTTGAAAACTGTAACATTTTTATTTGTTCAGGTGGCTGACAATAAAACAAACGTATCTAATTCACTACTATTTTTATTTATTTTCACTGTTAAATAATTTTTCCTATTATTTTTATTTTTTAATTTTAATTTTATTATTATTTTTATAGTTAATTTGCATTTATTTTCTTAAAATAAATTAATGTAATTTTTTAAATTATTAAATTAATAATGTCAAATAATGATGACTAGTTATATTTGATAAGGTACATTTCATATTTTACACAAACATCACTTTTATTTTTAAAATATTTTTTAGTTATTACTTTTTACATTTCAAATTGTTACTCTGAAAATAGTATTATAATGTATAATTAATGAGCATTTTTATTAAGCTTTATATTTGATAAATTTAAAATAAAAATTCTTCTAAAATATATTAATATTTCTATTATTTTACTCTAGTTTCTTTGATATTTCATCATATTTGAAATGGTAATTATTATTTTAAAATCTATATTTTTAAAATAGAAATTATATTGATCATAGTTTTCAAGTCTCATTTGAATTCATAAACGAGAGATGAATCTAACTAAGATAGACATTACTTTTAATTAAAAATCTTAAAATATTATGTTATGAATTTTTCTTTATTAAATGTTACTTAATTTTATTTAATATAATATTTAGACTCAGATTTAGAATTTTCAATAATGCGAAAGTGGAAAACTACATTATAATTTATAGAGTTTTCCATAAGGCATAATTCACAAATTTCTATTATTATTTTTACTTAAAATCCATTTTAACCCTCTCAAATATTTGACAAAGAAATGACAATTTAAGATTTAAAACAGGATAAAAGAATCCTAAAACACAAATAAAATTAATTAAATTAGAAAATGTTGAAAGACTTAAAGATCATATCATGAATTGTATTCTTTGTAAAAATGAAGAGAATGGTTGAATGGTCCTAAGATGGGGAGTGGGGACTCGACCCTGCTGGTTTGTATTCTCATATTTTGTCCATCATCAGGATTCAATTCAAGGCACCACAAACTTCAGCTTCATTCTCACACAAACCCAATTTTAAATTTAGCCTTATTTTCACGCAAGACATTCAGAGATGGAGGACCATTCAAAACTTCACCCTCATCTTCAACCATCGTGCATAAGAATAATAATAATAAAAAAAACCATTCTACAATTTCCTATCTTATTTCTGGATATGTGATTAATTTTGATATACTTAAAATTCTTATCTCACTTTAATAATCTAATTTAAGAATAATTTGGATTTTTTAATATATTTAAACATATTTTAAGAATAAAATCATGATTATACTAAGTGTAAATTTAAAAAATTTGTTAAGTTTAATTTTTCTTTTTAATAACTCTAATTTTAAATATTATTTTAAACTAAAAAATATAATATAGATAAGTATAAAAAGTTGTAAAAAAAATTGAAAAATAGATTTGATAGTTTTATAATAATAATAATATCAAATTATTTAATAACGTTGATATCATTAGTGAAAAATAAAATTATATAAAAAAAATACTTTTCATCAATTTTGATTTTTTAGTTTTTAAAAACTAAAAAATAAAATAAATTTCAAAAATTATTTTACAAAAATAGTTATTAAACAAATATTTTAATTTTTAAAATTAAAAAAACTGTTGTTTTTAAAACATTAAACAAACAATCTCTTAATTTGACATTTTATATTGCTTGATAAACCTAAAATAAAATATATGAATATATTTCACGTTATAAAATCAAATAACATGCTTTCTATTATCAAGTTGAAGAAAGATAATTGGTTAAATTTTTTGAATGAGAAATTCCTATAGCCTATTTTTTAACATTTTTCATGATTTTCTAAAAAAAAAAAAATTCTGTCTGAATTGAATATTGATTTTTTTTTCATTATTTTCTGAAGAAAAAATATTATATTATTTAAAAAAAGTCACTTCTAAATCAAAAGAATGTTTTTAAAAACTAACAAATCAGAATTAATAAAACGTGTTTTCTGTTTTTATTAATATATATCAACAGTTTTAATAATAATTATATAAAATCATTAGTTGTTGATCATAAAATTAAGAAAATCATTTTCGAAGTTGTAAAAAACAAAATTAAACCAAGAAAGCTCTTGTGTTCACTCGAGAATCTCGTTTTTTTCTTATTCATTCTCGTTACCGAAGTGTGACTAGTTAAATTTGGAGCCTATGACTCTTTACGGAGAATCTTCTCTCTTTACCAAATGTACTATATAGCTCCTTGGTTTGTCTTTGAATTGGAAATGGAATCACCTACAAAATTGGTTAGTCAAAGGAAACTACCTTGGTTTTTTACATAATCATAGCTAGCTGTACATGCCCCAACATGCATCACTTCAGTAGTAATTATTATTTGGATAAAAAACTCTGATCTTTGACGAGTAGAGTTAATTTTTTTTTGTAAACACAATTCACACACGGAATTATCTGCAACATTTCAGAAAGATCTTTCGGCTCTTTCATTTTGTCATCACTTAATTTGTCAGTACAAGATGAACATTTTACCCTCAGTTTTATCACACCCTTTTCTGTCTTTTCCTCCAAACTAGGCCCATAAATTCTTGCTTATTCCTTTATGCCATGTCACTGGCATCTCAACAAAAAGGTAGGGGAAAAGGGATCCAAATTCTGAAACCAACGCGTTTGAGTCATGGCAACCACATTATAAATATGTCACTCACTTAGAGGGGCCATTCAACTCAACACCACAAGAGCTTACACCAACAACAACTACCACTGCTACTACTTCTGCTTAAGCCTTAGGATTCAAACTCATCACCATGTCATTTTCCTCTGGCCATAAGTTTTTCAAGAGGTTCTGTGTTGATGAATTCCAAATGGCAAGTCTTCCTTATAGCAGCTTTCTGTCTAATGATCTCTTGCCATCCCTTGGAGCCAGAATCAACCAAGAAACAAGGCTTAGGAAATGCATAGTTTCCCCTTTCGATCCACGTTATAGGTGATGAATGATGATGGTTCTTTGACTTTAATTACCTACCCCTTTAGTATCACACATATGCAATTACTACTCTCAATGTTGTTGTGGTTGTGTGTTTCTTCTTCTCACATGCTCTATTATTGCAGGGCATGGGAGATGCTATTGATTGTCCTTGTTGTTTACTCTGCATGGATTTGTCCCTTTGAGTTTGCCTTTCTGCCTTACAAGCAAGACCCACTATTCATCATAGACAACATTGTCAATGCCTTCTTTGCCATTGACATCATTCTCACATTCTTTGTTGCATATCTTGATAATCATTCCTACCTTCTTGTTGATGATCCAAAGAAAATTGCATTAAGGTACACTCATATGTACACTCCCATCTGCTTATTGTATTTCTAACAGAAAATAAGTAGAAAAACTGAAATAAACTTTTCTCATAACTTCAAATTAACTCATCCAAGAGTTAACTAATAAAACTTTTAGAAACTACAAGAGAAACTTCTGAAAATTGACTTATGCATATATTTCAGTTTTCTATAATAGAAGTGTTTGGTTATAAGTTTGTTTAAACAGATACTTCTCTTCTCTGTTAATCAAACTATAGTTTCAAGAAATTTTACAAGTCACAATAGATCCTCTTGACATTTTCTTTCTCTGAGACTAATGAATCTCAAAAACTTTGCTTACATCTTGTACTTCTACAAAAACATATAGGTACATATCAACCTGGTTTATCTTTGATATCTGTTCAACTGCACCATTTCAATCCATCAGCCTCCTATTCACTGATCATAGAAGTGAAATTGGCTTCAAAATTCTCAACATGCTTAGATTGTGGCGCCTGAGACGTGTCAGTTCTCTGTTTGCAAGGTCCAACATTATGTTATAACTCAACCTTATGATTTTCCAACACTTCCCAAACTGAAAGTGCTTACTCTGTTTCAGACTAGAGAAGGACATTCGTTTCAATTACTTTTGGACTAGATGCTCCAAGCTCATTGCTGTAAGCCTCTAAACCCTACTACATCTTGTGGACACATCTTCATTTGATCACAAGAAGATGCACTCATTGCATTTATTGTTGTGCCACAAAACAAACCGTTGAATGAATAAGTATAGTTATTCAACTACTTATGTTATGCCACATTATTTTTAAAGAGAAGTGGGGTGTGTACTTGTTTCTCCCTCCCTTCACAATAACAACACTAAAGTCAAAATTTAGGTACACTTTATGAAGTTCTTTTCATATTATTTTAATCAGAATTGGAGTTTCTTCCAGATAAATATAATGACATTTAATACAAGCTATTGTTACATGAATTATGATGAAAAACTCTAATTCTGATAGAAAAATTGTGTCAGAACAGTACTTGAGAAATATGTTTTGGCCTTATAGATCATGTTAACCAAACCAACTATGATTGAGATGTCTTGCTATTTGTTCTTTTATCAAACTTCAGGTGACATTGTTTGCTGTGCACTGTGCTGGATGCTTCAACTATATGATTGCAGATAGGTACCCTGATGCAAAATCAACATGGATTGGTTCTGTGTATCCAAATTTCAAAGAAATGAGTCTTTGGGACAGATATGTGACTGCCATGTATTGGTCCATTGTCACACTTACTACCACTGGCTATGGAGATTTGCATGCAGAAAACACAAGGGAGATGCTGTTTGACATCTTCTACATGTTGTTCAACTTGGGATTAACTTCATACATCATAGGAAACATCACAAACCTCGTAGTCCACTGGACAAGCCGCACCAGAAATTTCGTATGTACTCTCAAACTTCTACTTCTCCTTATATTTCTTAATTTATTTTCAACTTCAATAATTTGATAGTTTTTTAAGGAACATTATTTTGACCACTATAATATTTTTTATTTCATTTTTATGAGTTAAATGATGACGTGATAACAAAACTATAAAAAAAAAAATGAATTTTAATTTTCTTTTCAACGACTTAACTAATATCCATCCATTATTTCTGTTTTTCCTTTTTAACCTTTTACTTTTCTCTATCACTAAATATGGATTTTGAGCATCCAAAAATAAGTTTAGTGTTTTATAAAATAAGGATAAAAATGAAAATATTTTAATATATATAGAGAAAGAGAGAGAAATCAAAACTAAAAATCTATTATAAAAAAAAAAACATAATCTAGAATTTTAGTATTTAGGGTTAGGATAAATGATTATATATTTTTTAAATATTCGTATATATTTTTTTATGTCATTGTTTACAACGTTTTATTTTATTGTTGAATAAGTAGTCTAAAACTTCTTTTGATAAAAAAAACAGAAGAAAAAACTTAATAAAAATAGATAATTTATTATAAATTAAAAAAATATTTAAATCATATTCGAAAATTATTTAAACTTATAATAAATTTAGATTTCTTAAGCTTTAGAAGAATGATGGGCATAAGACTGAAAATTAACTATTAGTATAATTTGTAGAGCATGAGTTAGAATAAATCCCAAGTCTCAATCACCATACACTTTAACAAAAGTCCAAAGGTTTTGATTCTCACATTTTAATTTTGACAATAATAAATGTAATTAATAGAGTTAGTTAATATTTGATTTTAATAAATATTGGCCGACCAAAATCTTTTCATAGTGTGAGAAAAAGGTTTAAAATAAATAGGAAAATATTTAACATTTACTCAAACATAATTTCAATCTTACTCTCTCCAATCTTTTCATAGTGCAACTGATCTTTTAATTTTTAAATTAAGTGAAATTTTGAAAATTATAAATAATTTAGAATTTAATCGTGATAACTTTATGCTGTCAATCGAATCACAAATTATGATGGGGTTTTTAAATAATTATTATAAAAGTTATCAATTTTATAATCGTATTTGAAAGATATATTAAATTATTATATACTATCATGTTTTTTATTTTTCTAAATAATTGGTCCAATGATGGGAAGTTACGCTATCATGTTATTTAAAAATTCCATATCATCTTTACCCTAAAAAAATTCCACGTATAAAGTATCTTGTGGCTCTAATATCCCACCAAAAATATCTTATCACTAAACCATGAAATTGGATGCTGATCCCACGTTACTTTTTCAAAGATGCATGCAAAAAACCATCTTTCTCAGAGAAATAATATATATAATAAGTAAAGCATATAAATATAAAAATGAAAAAAATATATTGAGTGGGGACATGTGCCTCAACCACACACCATACCCACCAACAGTTGTCTCCTGGTACATATCTTCTTCCCTTTTACAATTTTTTTTAAAGAAAATTGAGAAATTAAGTTTATGTAATTTTGACACAAAAGTTTTAAATAAAATGGTTAAAAAAATGATAGAGATGTATGATATAATACCTGATGTGGTATAAAATAATTATATTATAAAAAATATTAATAAATAGGTTAAATAGTTTTTTAATAAAATTTTAGTTTTATTTAAAAATGATAAAATTTTATTTACAATATAAAGCATATATGGCCTTATTTATTTATTAATATTGATATGATATTTACGTAAATATATTAATATAATAATAATAATAATTTTTTTTAATATTATATTATACTTGTTATTAAATAACCTAATAATACTAATAAAATAGTGATATTTTTTTAATTTGAGACGAGATTAAAATTAATAATATAATAAAATTGAAAATAAAAAATGAGAAAAATATATTTAATCATATAAATAATATAACTAAGATGTTTAAAGAGACTAGGCGTGAAAAGTACTAAAAAGACGAACTTTTAGAAAAAAGAAAAAAACTAAATAAATAAACCTTATTACATAATCTAGTAATATTTTTCTTAGGTATAGTAACATTATTAATTTTACAATAACTGGTTAAAAAAAATCATATCTATAATGTTTTTTAAACAATAGATAGTATAAAACATTTTATATTAATCTTGCATAAAGAACTTAAGAAATATGTGAAAGTGTATTTATTTCCTCGTTCTAACAAAGAGAAGCATGGTTTTGGTGGTGGCACAGAGGGACACAGTGAGAGCAGCTTCAGAATTTGCATCAAGAAACCATCTGCCACATCACATTCAAGATCAGATGTTGTCACACTTGTGTTTGAAGTTCAAGACAGAAGGAGTGAAGCAGCAAGAGACACTGAATGGCATGCCAAAGGCAATTCGTGCAAGCATTGCATACCATCTATTCTTCCCCGTTGTGCAGAGGGTCTACCTCTTCCAAGGAGTTTCACATCACTTTCTTCTCCATCTGGTAATAATTTTGATACATTGTTTATTTTAGTTTAAACTTATTCACTTTTCATGTTTGGTTTTCAAATTATTACTATAAAAATCAATCATATTTAAATTCTAAGCTTTAATGCAAGTGTTTTTGTCAATAGGTTACAGAGATGGAAGCTGATTATTTCCCTCCAAAGGAAGATGTTATCCTACAAAATGAGTCTCCCACAGACCTTTACATGTTGGTTTCAGGGGCAGTGGTGAGTAAGCTAAACCATGAATAATCAACTACCCTTGAATGAATCTTAAAAAATGCTCCCTAATTGACACCAATGTTGCAGGATCTCATTCGCAATGTTGATGGCAATGATCAAGTATGTCATAAGTAACATTTTTTGCTTTACACTTTCAATACAGAGTGAAACTACATGACATAACATCCTAGTTTGTTATTCAATTTCAGATTCTGAAGAAGGATAATGTAGGGGACACATTTGGGGAGATTGGAGTGTTATACTGTAGGCCACAACCCTTCACTGTTCGGACCACTGAGCTTTCTCAAATTTTAAGACTCAGCAGAACCTCCTTAATGAACTCTTTACATGCATATCCAGAAGCAACACAAATCATAATGAAAAATATCTTCATGGTAACAAGGATATCACACAACTTCATTTTCATTCATCACTGGTTTAATTTTGACACATTGTCTGTGTAAAGATTTTACATTGTCGATGAAAAGCTATTTGCAAAGAAATGGTTATGAAAGTTAATGATTTGCAATTACATAGGGATTTATGATTGGATGACAGTATAAAAACCTTTATATGTTGGTGTATTTTAATTAAATCCAAGTACTATTATGATGTTAACAATTTTGTTATTCATGTTGGCAGAGGTTAAAGGGGCATGATGGCTTGGATTTTGAAAATTCACCAAGGGACCCCCAAATGGATGAGTGGGACAACACAGGAGGAAGTTTTCCTGAGTCATCTGTAAATAATTCACATGGGGATGGAAAAGGAGATCTTCATGCTACTTTGCATGAAGGTAATCCTGACATGGAAGAAAATGAAAAGAACCAAGGTCCTATAAGATGGAAACAGAAGGCTCTTGTAGATCAGCAACAAAACAAGAGTCTTTCTGACCTAACAATGAACAATGAACATAGGAAGATATTAGATGAACATATTATAGAGTTTTTGGAACCAGAAATCCCTATCAACTATCCTTTAGGAAAAATATACACAAACACTTATTCAACTACCTCTAACCATAAAACTGAGAGAGAAACAAAAAGACTCCTTAAAAAGAGAGTTACCATCCACTCTCTAATCAAACATAAAACTACCTTACAGGAACAACATAGCAAGTTGATAATTCTACCTGATTCACTAGAAGAGTTGCTCATTGCTGGTAAGAACATTAAGTGTTGTATCTTCGTGTCCAATACCACTCTTTAAACATAACAATATATGAACTTCTCTTAATTTGCTCATTCTGACTTTCAACTTGTGAAATTGCAGGTGAAAAATTTGGAGGCTCCAAACCTATAAAAGTAATTAGTATTGAGAATGCAGAGATAGATGATATTAATGTCCTTCGAGACGAAGATCATCTATTTTTTCTTTATAGTGATGCTGAAAATTTAAATTTATAATCTTATGAAATACCACTTAAACTGTGGAAAATATGAAACAAGCTTGTGTAACCTTCTGATATACAAAAATATATATTGATTACACAAAAATATCAAATTTTTACAATCATTTTTTATAGTTATATATATATAATACTTTTGAATGAGTATATCAATTCAAATAAAAATATTAATTTTTAATTCAATTATATTTATTTATAAAGTTTATTGAAAATAATTTATTCAAATAGATAAAAAAAACTGAAATAAATAAATTATACATAAATTATATTCGATTTTTAAATTTAAAGTTTGTATATTATATATATATATATATATATATATATATTAAATATGTCAAAATAAATTTAATCTCAAATGTCAAAAAATAAGTTAGAAAAAAATATATGACCAACCGATCCACCTATATAAATAATTATTTTAAATAAAAATAAAAATAAAAATAAAAATAATATTATTTTATTAAAAAATATATTATAAATTAATTATTTCAATTTAAAAACAAATATATATAATTTATTTTAAAATAAATCCATAATACTTAATAATATATATTTTAAGAGATAATAAAGATTAATTATTATAAATTAATCAATTATTAAAAAAAAATAAAAAATAAAATTTTAGTCATTATTTTAAGATTAAATGATATATTTTTCTTATAATTATATAGTAGGTTATTATATTTTTAAAATAATAAAATTTAAACTATCAAATAGATATAATAATATTTTTTAAAATTGACCATCAAATTATTAAAAATAAATAAATTTGTTTTAGACCGGTTTTGAGAACTCTATTATTCTAAATATTAATATCAATATATTATGAGAACTCTACTAAATATTATTTAATGTATTCTTTTTAATATGATTATCAATATATTAGTTGAAAAACATAAGAATGATAATAATTATCTTTATTATTTATCAGTTTTAATATAATTTTAAACCCCTAAATTCTAATATTAAATATTAAATAGTGATTGTAAAAATAACAGTAAATATGTACTATTAATTTATGTATAATAGATAAGTATGAGCCATTTGACATAATGAAATCAAATTAATGGTATTAATGAGATAAAATTAATGATTTAATGATAATGATTTTGTTGTAGCAATAATATTTTTAAATTTAATAAAATAATTAATAATATATGAAACGTAATTATGATTTAATGATTAATGTGGTTATAGTGGTAATGTTCTAAAATTTAATAAAGTAATTATTAATAAAATAATTAATAATATGAAACCTAAATATAGAAAAATATATTAAATAAGCTAGAATTATCCAAACCATTACACAAAGAAAACATGCTTATTCTTCCTTGAAGAGATAAGCATCGATATCTTTGACGCATTTGTTACAGAACTCCATGTATCCATACGGGGGATGAACGTCCTCATTTACCCTCTCATATTCAACACTCCATTTAATAGCAGCACTACCATCATTCTTCTCAATCGCTTCAAAGATTAGGTTAAACACCTTGAACTCTTTGTCGATATCTTCACCAAAAAGCTTGAATACCATTCTTTTGTTCTTCTCATCAACTGATTTAATACTTTCTTGGCATGTTACCACTCTACCGTCTGTTGTTTCACAACTATTCAAGATCAGAATCATATACTTTAACAAATAATTAGTATATATAAAGTTAAATTCTTTAAAATATCATAAAGTTGGAAAAAAATAATTAGAAAACCTAGAAAAGTAAAATATTTAGACTTGGCTTATAAGCTTAAGTACCTATGGTATAAGTCCAGTGTTTGACGGAATCATTGGTGTGCCATTCATCACCTTGATGGAGCTTAGCACCATGAATTCTTTCAGCAACCTTCTGAACATGATGGAGTTGCTTTGAGAAGAGATTGAACCATTTTTCTGCTGTTGAGTGAACCCCAACTTCAGTGCTAATTACACCAGAAAGTGACATGAGATCAAGAATTGAAGAAAAGAAATGGAACAAACCAAAGAAGATGAGAAGAAACCGAGCATGCAATGCAACCTTCTTCAACCTTAAATAATCATAGTGACAGAGAAATATCTATTTGTATTATTTTAATAATCATATTATAACAGAAAAATATACTGCAGTACAATATAAATCTTTTTTAGATCCATCTTTGATAACTTTGAGATACTAAAGAATCTCAAAATATCTATTTTTCATCTGTTAGGTTTTCTTTTTCTTCCTGTTTGAGTGACACGTAAACCTTTCAAATGACACTTGTTTCTTTGAGATGACACGTAACATTTCTTCTATTTTATATTTTATCTTCAAGTGCCACGTTGTTACTTTTGTTGGAGAGTTATATATTTGGAATGAATGATTCATAAGGGGCATGTTATAAAATGATTGTTGGAAATGCAATGAAAAGAAATGATTTTGTGAGGATGTGCATGAATTATATATATTATGGAAAGCTGACGCAACAAGCATATAAGTGTTGCTTGGAAATGATGACAAACAATTTCTAAATAAAAGATTTTGTAGATTATTATTTGATGTATTTTTGAAATGAGTGATATATGATTAATTTATAGGTTTTTGTCTAGATATGACTTCTCAGCTATATGTATTTAATACATTCATTATCTCTCAGCTAGATATATTCAATATAATTATTATCTCTCAATCATTATCTCTACTGCATATTTAATGTTTATCTAATAAAATCTTTCCATAAACTTAAATGTTTTCTTGTCCTTTATTCCAAATATCTTCTTGTTGTTCTCTGTTAAGTGGTAAAAAGTTGATATAATTATGCCTTGAATTGTTATGAAACCACTTAACTTATGTTAATTCTAATATATTTTTCTCCCAATATAGAATGAATTCGAGAATACCTTGATACAAAAGGAAGGAAGGAGCATAATTGTCAGCATAATTAGAGTAAAATTGAAAGAAAGAAGAACGCTTAAGCGAATGAATGATGCAAGGCCCGACCCAAATTCTCTTATAAAAAGATAAGTTGTGTTTTGAGAAAGACAAGCAGTCTTGGAGGAGAGGAGACATGACTACTGTTAGGGTTTTGTCTAATCTTCATCAATTCTTCTTCATCAATTGAAGCATTGTAATGACCAACATGAGTGACTAACTTCATTCTCTTAGGATTCGGTGCACTTCCTTTGAACTCTTTTGTATCATGGTGATATTTTGAGATATTAATCTATGCTTTGATGTTGTTATTCTTATCTTCTATGCTTTGGAATGATTTATTCTTGATTGTTTGAGGTATGATTGGAAAATATATCTTGAACCCTAGATTACGGTAAGAATATTTGTTACGTTAATTGTCAGGAATGAAATGAATGTATCAATTGCTTAAACACCCTAACCCTAATGCTGGAAAATCTGTTAATTGTGTGAGGAATCAACATTTATTAGGTTTTCTTATGAATTTCATGTGTGAGGAATCAACATGGATGATTTGAGTAGGTGGCATCAACATTGTTAGGTTAATTGACGTTCTTAATTGACATAGTCATTACAAAAGAGAGATAAGGAAGGAAGCCAATCCTAAGTACCTTTAATTGATATTTTCTCAACAATTTACAAGTCTTTGTCATTTAATTTCAATTCAACTCTTATTTGCAAAACCTAATCTGTTTTAATCTACTTAGTAAGCATAATTGGGAATTTCCATTGAAATTGTTCCTCGTGGGATCGACTTTTATTTAATCGAAATACTATCTTGCGATTGATAATTTGGTACGCTTGCCAATAATTCAACAAGTATTTACAGCGTAGTTGCTCGAGAATGGTGTTCTTTGAGAAATCTTTATTTAGCTTATTGAGTATTTTATTTTTATTTCTGTTTTTTTATTATCATTATCATTATTATTATTATCATTATTATTATTATTATTATCATTATTATCATTATCATTATTATCATTATTATTATTATCATCATCATTATTATCATCATTATTATCATTATTATCATTATCATTATGATTATTATTATCATTATCATTATTATTATTATTATTATTATTATTATCATTATCATTATCATTATTATTATTATTATTATTATTATTATTATTATTTAGTTTTTAGTTTGTGCTAATATTTGCTTGAGTTACTCTTTTGATTTATGCGTTTAAGAGGACAGGTATCTTCGGAGCGGTTAGAATTTAATCCAGAAATTGAAAAAACAGCTCGGAGGAATCGGGGTAGAAGAAGAAGGGAAACTCAAGAACAAACCACAAGAGAATCTGTTAATTCTTCTTTCATACCTGATTTACTAGACCCAATTATAGAAGATATGGCGGAAGAAGGAGCAAATCCAAATCCAAATCCAAATCCAAATCAAAATCCAAATGCAAATCCACCTAGAAGAACTCTTAGAAATTGTGCTATGCAGCAAGGTCCAAGACATTTTTCCAGCATTGTCATTCCGGATGATCATACATTGTAGATAAATCCAACTTTCTTAAGCTTGATTAGTGCTTATCAATTCACTGGATTGGATCATGAAGACCCTTATATTCATTTGTCTACTTTTTATGAGTTGATTGGTACCATGGGATTTAGAGCAGCAAATCTTGAATCTGCATATTTGATATTATTTCCTTTTTCTTTGGCAGGTAGGGCAAAATAATGGCTGAAAGCACATCCTAATCAGAGTTTGACTAATTGGAGTAGTGTAGAAGAAAAGTTTTTGAATAGATTTTTCCCACCATCCCGCTACATCAAAGCAAAATCTGACATCACTTCTTTCAGACAAGGAGCAGATGAGCAATTTTGTGAAGCATGAGAGAAATTTAAATCACTGTTGAGAAGTTGCCCAAATCATGGATTTGATGACGTTTCTCAGTTGAATATTTTCTATACTGGCTTACGACATGATGCAAAGATGTTATTAGAAGCTGCAGCAGGAGGATCTATGTTGGATGTAGAAATTGATCATGCCACCAGAATTATTGATGCACTAGCCTTTACAGACCAACAAGCCCAACATGATAGACATCCAATTCAAAGGAAAGGAGTCCTTGAACTTAACACCACAGATGCTCTCTTAGCCCAGAATAAAATTTTGACCCAACAAATTGAAGCATTGAACCAGAAAATAGAGAAATTACATCATCAAATGCACACAGTACAAATTATTCCTAATCAACAGATGAGTTGTGACTTGTGTGGAGGTGATCATTCAAATGAACAATGCTCTTATCAAGGCAACATTTAGCAAGAAGAAACTAATTATATGGGGGCCCAAGGTAGTAGTCAAGGCAGACAAGGTAATTTTCCTAATCCCAATAATTATCAGAATAATTTTGCACAAGGATGGAGAGGGAATCAAAATCAAAATCAAAATTTTGGGTGGAAACAAGGACAACCTACATTTCAACAACAGTCATATCAGCAACCTCCATATCAACAGCAACAATAACATTATCCTTCAGTGCCTGACAGAATAAGTAAATTGGAGGATATTGTAGAAAAATTTATGCAAAGCACTATGGTTAATCAGAAAAATACTGAGACTTCATTCAGAAATATAGAGACCCAAATAGGCCAACTGGCTAAGCAGTTATCTGAGCAGCAACAAGGAGGATAGTTTTCAACTAACACACAAACCAATCTAAAGGAGCAGTGCAATTCAATAACTACAAGGAGTGGAAAAGTTGTAGGTAAGGGGATTGGTGACAATATTGTTTTGGTAAAAGAAGATGAAGCGCAAGAAGATGAGAATAATAAAGAAAGACATATTCCTAATAAGAAGAATGAAGAGAAGATAGAAAAAGTAGGGAGTCAAAAACCATTTGTAGAGAAGTTACTGTATCCCAAGGCTCCTTCACAAATAGATAAAGAAAGACAGTTTGCAAGATTCATGGATATTTTCAAGCATTTACAGATTAATATTCCATTTATGGAAGCTATGGAGCAGATGCCGACTTATGCAAAATTTATGAAAGAGTTGTTAACTAAGAAAAAGAGATTTACTGCAGAAAAAGTGGAGCTAGAAGCAGGATGCAGCGCTATAATTCAGAAATCATTACCTCAAAAGTCCAAGGATCCTGGCAGTTTCACTATACCAGTCACAATTGGGACGTTACAAGTAGGTAAGTCATTACTTGATTTGGGTGCTAGTATAAATCTAATGTCTTTGTCTATGCTTAAAAGAATAGGAGACTTGGAAGTAAAGTCTACAAGAATGACATTACAGCTAGCTGACAGATCTGTAAAGATTCCTTATGGAGTAGCAGAAGATGTTTTAGTTAGAGTGGATAACTTCATATTTCCTGTTGATTTTGTGATTATGGACATGGAGGAAAATGAGGAAGTCCCATTGATCCTGGGAAGGCCATTTATGAAGACTGCTAAAGTAATTATAGATGTTGACATGGGCAAGTTGAAAATTAGAAGTGGAGATGATGAAGTTAATTTTAATCTGTTTGAAGCTGTACAACAACCAGAAGACAAAAAAGACTGTCTCAGAATATACACTTTGGAGGAATTAACCATCTCAACTGAAAAACAAGATTACAAGCATGTTGCACAACCCCAAAGACATCTTAGTCTGACTATGAAGGAAGTTATTCAAAGAGAGGTACTGAAACCTCCTGAAATAGGTATGATTTATCCAATCTCTGACAGTTGTAAGGTTATTCGCAATGAGAAGAATAAATTCATTCCCACAAGGACAGTCAAGGGATGGAGAATGCGTATATATCACCTTGATCACTCACCTGCATGAGCCCTAAAGCAAATAGGCGTCAAGCTGAAGACGTTAAACAAGCGCTCCCGGGAGGCAACCCAATGTTTTGAATTTGTTTTTTTCTTTTTGCGGTTTAAGTTTTTTTTTGTGCATTTTTCTTCCTTAGGTTGTTTCTTTGCAAGATTGCTCCAAGTACACAGTGCACTTCTCCTCAAGACTTTGAAGCCTTACTTCAATGGCCTGGGGACAGTCCAACTTTTTT